GAAGTGAGCCATCTTGATTTGATCATGGCACATGGAAAAGGTAGACCAAGGGTGGATAACCTCACCAAAGATACTCGTCTCCTGGTACAAAACCAGAGATTTATTTTATTAACTCATACAATGACAATGCCAAGAATACCTTTAGATAGACAGTAAAGATAGTCTCTAATGTTACTGATTAAAAATAAACATAGCAGTAGTGAGAATATGGAGAAATGAAAATTCTCATACCTTGTTGATTGGAGCATAAAATGGTACAGTATCTTTTGAAAACAGTTTGGTAGTTCTTCAAAATGTTAAGCAAAGAGCTACATGACCCAGTAATTCTATTCTTAGGTACAACCATACCTTGTTTTATTTCATGCCACATTATTGCCTTTCTCAGATACTGTGTTTTTTTCAGACTGAAGGTTTGTGGCAACCCTATGTCAAAAGAATCTATTGCTGCCATTTTTCTAATAGCATTTACTCACTTCGTGTCTCTGTGCCACATTTTTGTTCTTACAATATTTTAATTTTTCAATTATTATTTTATTTGTTACAGTGATCTGTGATCAGTGATTACAATTCACTGAAATCTCAGATCATGGCTAACATTTTTTAGTAATGAAATATTTTTAAATCAAAAAGTAAGTAAATAAAGCATTTGTTATGAGAAGTGATCCATGTTATGAGAAATGATTTCCCAGACAGAACATGAAAGACTCCTAACTCTGGGAAACGAACAAGGGGTGGTGGGCGGGGGTTGGGAGTGACTGGGTGATGGGCACCGAGGTGGGCACTTGACAGGATGAGCACTGGGTGTTATTCTATATGCTGGCAAATTGAACACCATAAAAATAAATTCATATATATATATAAAATAAAGCTGCTTGTGGAATTGAAAAAAAAAGAAATGATTTCCCAGAAATAAGGAAAAGTTATATGCATAGATGAGGTAAACAATATGTAGAATTCCACAAATTCTTAAAGCGAATTATGAAGTTAGTTATTATAAAAATCCTTCTTCATTTGTTATATGTAATTATATTTTTGTAGTAATAGATCTTAAATGCTACAGAACTAAAAATTGCTAAATATTTAATAAATGTCATATAAAATATCTTAAGTACTTCATTAATATTAAAGTTGCCAATTAATACACCTAAAAAATAAAACAAAGTAGTAAAAAAGGCCAAGAATCCCAAAGAAGAAGAAAAAAAAAGAGAAAAAAAAACAAATGTAAAGAGAAAAAATAAGAAAAAAATAATGAGAAGGAAAAAAGGGGGGACTGGGAGATGGTGGTAGTGACAAAGTTGTAGTGGAGGGAGAATGTAGTCTCCCTGAGGGGTCCTAGAGGGTGATCCTCTTGGTTCTGAGTATATTAAGTTCTGTACGTTAGAAGATGCTCAGTCCCAAATTTATATAAACCAGAAACACTTGTAGAAAGCCCCAACATTGACCACCAAAACATAAATAAGATAAAAGGGGGGGCAGAATGGGAATGAGGAATCTCACAGAATGAACCAGTACGGTATACCACTTGATTCTGGGTGCATGCTGGTCATATTTTAGAAGGTATTAACTTCTGCCATTGTAGAACAAAGTGAGGCAGAGAAAATCAAAAACACAAAATAACAACAACAACAACAAAAAATATCTCCCAAAAATAAGTTGAATATGTTGAAGGGAATCTAGAAGTGAAAATATATCTAAAGCCTGTAATTGTAGAAGTATGAAAGTCAAAAAGGAAGAAACTTAAAAATGAAAAGGTGGTAAAATATTGTAGTTAAGGTGGGAAAAGAAAAAAATATTGGAAATTTATAGTCTGATATAAAAATGAGTTGTACTGGAAAAATGAAAAAAAAAAATAGGAGTACCCTCTAGTTCTTTGTACTGTAAATCCCTCGACTTCCCCTGAAGCTTTCCAGGGCTGCTTGGTCAAGAATTTGCTCTTCCCCTGTCCTTCTAGCGGGTCTTCTGGGGGAGGGGCCTGCTGTGCTCATTCTCAGGTGTGTGCACCTGGGGGAGCTGCTCCCCCCCTCCCCCGCCGGGTGCCGGGCTCAGTGGGAGCTGTTTACCCTGTGAGGCCTCTGTTCCTTGGAGGCCCCGCCCCTCTCAGGCACAGGTGACACAAGGAGGAATAACAACACTGGTGGCAGCCAGGTCTCCAGCTCTGGCGGGGTCAGCTCCCCCCCAGTAACTACTGCAGTCTCCCAGTCCGCACTGGCCTAGATGCTCCCGGGGCGGAGGTGCTGATCTGCACAGTTTGGGGGCGCCAGGTGGCAGAGGGTCCTTGCTGTCCTGTGCCCTTCCCACCTCCACCTGTGCCAGGGGGAGCGCAGGATTGTCACTTTGTCCACTGGGCACCTGGGATCCGGGACCTGTGTTGCTTGAATTGCACTCCTGGGCCGTGGCTCCCGACGGCAGCAGGGCACAGACCCCTCCGTCTGGAGCTCCCGCCTGACCGACTGGCTTCTACCCGAGGCCCCGCTGAATGCGGGCTCCAGCCCTTAACCGAGATTGGCCTGCAGTGTGCGGTGCGCTCTCCCCCTGGCGCACTTCCTCTATTAGTGACTGGGAGAATGGAGGCTCCACTGCCCCTCCTGCGATTCTGCTCGATTTCCCTGCTAAGCAATTTTCCCTCTTTTAATTTTTTAAATTCGCTATCCCTCTTTGGTACAAAGGCTTTGCACATATTCCTTGTCCTTGAAACACTCTTGTTTTCCTTGATTCAAAAGTATGTCAGCCTTCACATCTCAGTTCACGTGTCCATTCCTCCAAGAAGCCTTCTCTTCCTGCTTAGGTTAAGTCAGGTTCTCTTATTTTTCATTCTGATAGCCCCTGTGCCTTTTCTGCAGAGCATTTGTCAGAGTCATTTTAGTCTTGGTTCTCACTATTTGATTTGTATCTGTCTTCCCTGTAGATTTCAGGCCCAACAGGTGCCATGTTGGTTTTTCCCTCTAATGTATCCCCAGCATTTCACATGGTGCCAGGCACACAGAAATGCTCGATACATAACTGCTGCATGACTATTTAAATTAAATGAACAAAGTGCAGCTGCAGAAGGTGCAGGAACTGTCTTGCTCATCAATCTCTTTCTAATTTTCCCAGTGCTCATTAATGGTCTAGAGAGCAAACAAGTGAAGGAATAAATAATGGAATGAATTGCCTGACCAGGAGGGTAATAAGACAGGAGAATAAACTACTGATTCGGTAATGATGCCCCCTTTTCTTGCAAATTTCAAGTTAATTCTCAGCCTTGTGGTTTTTTTTTAAAGATTTTATTTATTTATTCATGAGAGAGAGAGAGAGAGAGAGACAGAGACAGAGACACAGGCAGAGGGAGAAGCAGACTCCATGCAGGGAGCCCAATGTGGGACTCAATCCAGTGCCTCCAGGATCCTGCCCTGGGCTAAAGGCAGGCGCTAAACCGCTGAGCCACCCAGGCTTCCCATCAGCCTTGTGGTTTTATTAATGACCTTCACATCTACTTATTAAGACCCAAGTATTTCTTTATGATCCAAGAGCATTGTGTAGATATACTGACTGAAACAGGTCTGGACTGAAAGACCAGACCAGACCTGAAAGGATATACATAGAGGGAGAAGCAGGCTCTCTGCAGGGAGCCTGATGCTGGACTTGATCCCAGAACCCCAGGATCATGACCTGAGGCAAAGACAAACACTCAACCATAGCACCCGGCATCATTCTCCTATTTCTGTCATTGTATCTTCTTTCCTGTATTTCCTCCTCTCCTGCCTCCCTCTTTCTCTTATGAAGACTGTAGTCTTTACATTCTCACACCTCATCTAAGATACTTAATTTTTTCTACAAAGTCCATTTTTTCCATGTAATGTTACATATTCACAGGATCCAGAGATTAGAACGTAGGCATCTTTGGGGGAATCATTATTCTGTCTACCATAACTACTGTACATAGGTTTGGTTTGCTTATTGTAGAACCACCAAAATCTGCCTCATGATAGATGGTATTTGAGTAAGTATCACTCCCTCCTCCTGAGATGATATACACATTATAGGAACATATTCTCTGTGAGAAAAATACACGCACATAGCCAAGGAAGGTATCTAAAGTGTGAATCATCTGATCAACTCTTTCATATACATTCTGTGCACAAAAGGCCAAGGAAAGGAAATCCATTCCTTAATGTGGTTGTGTCCTCTCCTGTCTCCTCAAATTTGTGTGTCTGGTGTTTAAAGATATTAGTGTCTCCCCCACCCCCCCGATCCTGTCATGTCCTCTGTGGCTTCCTGAAGCCTTGTTCAAGAAAAGCACAATATTTGCTCTTGTGTTTAGTTCTGAATATTTCCACAAGGCACAAGTTTTGTAAGCTTATTGTGTAAAGATAAGCATGTGAAACTGCCTAACTCAAACATCAGAAATCACACTACGCACTATGGACCCGGAAACAACTACCTCATATTGGAAATGGAAAGGATAAGGCATAACAAAGAGAATTTTGTGTTTTTCTCCTTTACATCATTGGTGATTGAAAACAGGTGATGTGTCCCACCTTGTGTTAACTCACCACCGACCTTTATTTCTCTATGTGTAAAGCAATATTTCACAAATCCAGAAGCAGAGGAATTAGGGTGGGTATATATATATATATATATATATATATATATATATATATATATATATATGTAAAATCTCCATACCTTGAAACAGATCATTTTTTTCTGTCACACATTCCATTGCTCTTACCTTCTGTATTTTGGGGATTAGGAAGTATAGAGTAAAAGAAGACCAGGGTGTTGCAAAATGTAATCTGATGTGGCTTTTTGTTTTAATCTGAAATATCCATCTGGCAAGGAAACATTGTGATTGAGATCTTCTTAAATGTGATTTGATCACATGACTCTGAGATTAAGACCCTAGCCAAAGCCAAGAGTCAGGTGCTCAACTGACTGAGCCACTCAGGTCCACCAAAGGAAAATGTAACATTCTCTTTCTGTAGTCTTGTATTTCATTTCTAAAATATTATTTTTTCTAGGTTAATTAAAATATCTGTTAAATTATATCCTCTTATCCCATGGAAAATTGGACCTGTTAATCTCTGAGCCCTTGAAAGAGGATAAACAAGACTTCATTGTGTGTGTATTTCAAGAAATTCACCATGTCAACAGTGTGAAAGAAGTCAATCTTGCTTGATACACAATGCCTGCAAAGTCTGGAATTTGTGTGCTTAGAAAACTCTCAACATATAAAGAGCCATCTGTGGACCAATTTCTTGGTCACTTTGTTTACAACCTTTTCTGAAGCCTCTCCTTCCTACAAAGATGCTTCTAGATGCTGAACGTCTATGAGCAGGAAAACCTGCCTCAATGGATTTTCCTACCCACAGCAACTATGAGAATGGACATGTTCACCCCAGAGTCTGGATTTTGAAATTTCTTTGTTCTGTGTTCTGTGGGCTTAATTATTCATGCTTTCAAAGATATTGATTTCTCACTAGGTCCAAGGGAGTGATCATGAAAGACATAGGTTTAACCTTCATTGAGATTTCAGGAGAAAATAAGTGATTTTTGCAGCTATAGTGGACTCAGAGACTGAAAGATTCCTATAAATCTTGTCTCTAAATCTGGATAACTTAAGTATAGACCATTTCAGTCACCATCTTGTTTTATCCTCATAGATGATATAAATGGAAAACTCTGATCATGATATGTATATTTTGGGCTTTGTGGGCTAGTGTATTAGTCACTACATTAGTCACATTAGACATTAGTCAAGGTTATCCAGAGAAATAGAACCAACAGGACACACATGTTTTTATGAAGGGATTTATAATGAGGTATTGGCTCACATGATTATGGATTTAAGTCCCATAGTCTGTTGTCTGCAAGCTGGAGACCCAGGAAAGTTAGTGGTTTAGTTTAAAGGCCTGAGAGCCTGAGAGCTGATGGTGTAGATTCTACACTGTGTCTGAAGTCCTGAGATTTGAGTCTGTTGATTGTAGAAGATGTATGTCCCAGTCAATTTACCAGACTGAATTAACTCAAACTTCCTCCACATTTAAAAAAAGATTTAGGGGATCCCTGGGTGGCTCAGGGGTTCAGCGCCTGCCTTTGGCCCAGGGTGTGATCCTGTAGTCCCAGGATCAAGTCCCACGTTGGGCTCCCATCATGCTTTTCCTTCTGCCTGTATCTCTGCCTCTCTCTCTCTCTCTTTCTATCATGAGTAAATAAATAAAATCTTAAGAAAATAAAAATAAAAAAATTTATTCAGGCCCTCAAGGGATTGGATGATGGCCATCCACATTGGAGAGGGGCTTCTGTTTTATCTAGTCCACCAAAATGGTAATCCTTTCTTGAAAACCTGTACAGATGCACCCAAAATTCATGTTAACCAGCTATCTGGCAACTTTTGGCCTAGTTGGGTTGACATATAAAATTAACCATCTCTGCTACGATCTGTAGCAACAATTTAATTGCCATTATAGCATGAAAACTGCTGTAGACACTCAGAAATGACGATCATGACTGTGTTTTAATAAAACTTTATTTTTAGACACTGAATTTAAATTTCATGGAATGTTAATATAACACAAAATATCATTCTTCTTTTGATTTTTTTTGCCTGTTTAAAAATGTATACTCCAGGAGGAGGGGGCAAGATGGTGAAGAGTAGGGTCCCCAAGTCACCTGTCCCCACCAAATTACCTAGATAACTTTCAAATCATCCTGAAAACCTATGAATTTAGCCTGAGATATAAAGAGAGAACAGCTGGAATGCTAGAGTGAGAAGAGTTCACGCTTGTATCAAGGTAGGAAAAAAAATAAAGAAATAAAAAGCATCCGAGGGGGAGGGGCCCCGCCAGCAGCCTGGCTAAGGCCGCCCAGCGAGTGCCCCCAGGACAGGAAAGCCCAAGCCCGGAGAAGCAGGAGCTTTACCAATCATCCCAGAAGGAAAGGCCCACCTGCAGGGAGCTCGGGCAGGACCCAGGAGGGGCGGGGATGCCCTCAGACTCCCAGGGGCACTAACAGAGCACCTGTGCCCTAGGGGAGAGCATGCCACACCCTGCAGCTGAGCTCCCTAAAGGGCTGCAGCTAGCGCATGGCTGGACCCGGGAGCAGCTCAGAGGCAGCTCCGGCGGTGGCTCTGCAGAGGGGGCTGTGCAACCCGGGAGCCCGATTCCAGAAGTGCAAGCCCTGGAGCCCAGGGTGCTGGAGGACACAGCGCAGGATCCGGCGCTCCCCCGGGACAGGCAGAGGCTGGGAGGACACAGGAGAGCAAGAATGCTCCTGCCCTTGCGGCCCAGCTGTGCAGATCAGCAGCCCCCGCCCCCGGAGTATCCAAGCCCCTGCAGACTGAGAGCTGCGGTAGTTACTGCTAGAGCTAACTTCAGGGCTGGAGAGCTGGCCACCGCCACTGTTGTGGTTCCTCCTGGGGCCTCACAGGATAAACAACCCCCCATTGAGCCTCACAGCGGCCTCATAGGATAAACAGGATAAACAACTCCCACTGAGCTGTGCACCAGGCAGGGGGGTGAGGAGCTCCCCCAGGTGGCCACACCTGAGAATCAGCACAGCAGGCCCCTCCCCCAGAAGACCAGCTAGACAGACGGGAAAAGCAAGTTGTTGACCAAGCAGCACTGGAAAGTTCCATGGGAAGTCGAGGGATTTACAGTATATAGAATCAGAGGATACTCCCACTTGTTTTTTATTTTCTGTTTGCTTCCCCCCTTTCTCTCTCTTTTCTTCTTCTTCTTCTTCTTCTTCTTCTTCTTCTTCTTCTTCTTCTTCTTCTTCTTCTTCTTCTTTCTTCTTCTTCTTTCTTCTTCTTCTTCTTCTTCTTCTTCTTCTTCTTCTTCTTCTTCTTCTTCTTTTCTTCTTCTTCTTCCTTTTCTTCTTCTTCTTCTTTCTTCTTCTTCTTCTTTCTTCTTCTTCTTCTTTCTTCTTCTTCTTCTTCTTCTTCTTCTTCTTCTTCTTCTTCCTTCTTCTTCTTTCTTCTTCTTCTTCTTCTTCCCTTCTTCTTCTTCTTCTTCTTCTTCTTCTTCTTCTTCCTTCTTCTTCTTTCTTCTTTCTTCTTCTCCTTCTCCTTTCTTCTTCTTCTTTTCTTTTCTCTTTTCTCTCTTTTTCTCCTTTTCCCAATACAACTTGTTTTTGGCCACTCTGCACTGAACAAACTGACTAGAAGGAAAAACTCACCTCAAAGGAAGAATCAGAAACAGTCCTCTCTTCCACAGAGTTACAAAATTTGGATTACAATTCAATGTCAGAAAGCCAATTCAGAAGCACAATTATAAAGTTACTGGTGGCTCTAGAAAAAAGCATAAAGGATTCAAGAGACTTCATGACTGCAGAATTTAGATCTAATCAGGCAGAAATTAAAAATCAATTAAATGAGATGCAATCCAATCTAGAGGTCCTAATGATGAGGGTTAACGAGGTAGAAGAACGAGTGAGTGACATAGTAGACAAGTTGATGGCAAGGAAGGAAATTGAGGAAAAAAAGAGAAAAACAATGAAAAGATCATGAGGATAGGTTAAGGGAAATAAATGACACCCTCAGAAGGAAAAATCTATGTTTAATTGGGGTTCTGAGGATGCCGAAAGGGACAGAGGTCCAGAATATGTATTTGAACAAATCATAGCTGAGAACTTTCCTAACCTGAGAAGACAGACATTCAGATCCAGGAGATGGAGAGATCCCCCCCTGAAATCAATAAAAACCATTCAACACCTTGACATTTAATAGTGAAACTTGCAAATTCCAAAGATAAAGAGAAGATCCTTAAAGCAGCAAGAGACAAGAAATCTCTAACTTTTATGGGGAGAAATATTAGACTAACAGCAGACCTCTCCACAGAGACCTGGTAGGCCAGAAAAGGCTGGCAGGATATATTCAGGGTCCCAAATGAGCAGAACATTCAGCCAAGAATACTGTACTCAGCAAGGCTCTCATTCACAATAGAAAGAGAGATAAAGAGCTTCCAAGATAGGCAGAAACTGAAAGAATATGTAACCACCAAACCAGCTCTGCATGAAATATTAAGGGGGACTCTGTAAAAGAAAGAGGAAGTCCAAGGGAACAATCCACAAAAACAGGGACTGAATACGTATCATAATGACACTAAATTAATATCTTTCAATAATAACTCTGAACGTGATTGGGCTTAATGACCCCATCAAAAGGCGCAGGGTTTCAGACTGGATAAAGAAACAAGACCCATATATTTGCTGTCTACAAGAGACTCATTTGAGACCTAAGGACACCTACAGCCTGAAAATAAAAGGTTGGAGAACCATTTACCATTCATATGGTCCTCAAAAGAAGGCAGGGGTAGCCATTCTTATATTAGATAAACTAAAGTTTATTCCGAAGACTGTATAAGAGATGAAGAGGGACACTATATCATATCATACTTAAAGGATCTATCCAACAAGAGGACCTAACAATCATGAACATTTATGCCCCGAATGTGGGAGCTGCCACGTATATCAATCAGTTAATAACCAAAGTTAAGTCATACTTAGATAATAATACACTTATACTCGGTGACTTGAATGTAGCGCTTTGACCATCGACAGGTTTCTAAGCACAACATCTCCAAAGAAATAAGAGCTTTATTTATTTATTTTTTAATAACAAATTTATTTATTATTGGTGTTCAGTTTGCTAACATACAGAATAACACCCAGTGCTCAACCCGTCAAGTGTCCCCTTCAGCGCCCGACACACATTCACCCCCACCCCCCGCCCTCCTCCCCTTCCACCACCCCTAGTTCGGTTCCCAGAGTTAGGAGTCTTTATGTTCTGTCTCCCTTTCTGATATTTCCTACCCATTTCTTCTCCCTTCCCTTCTATTCCCTTTCACTGTTATTTATATTCCCCAAATGAATGAGAACATACAATGTTTGTCCTTCTCCGATTGACTTATTTCACTCAGCATAATACCCTCCAGTTCCATCCACGTTGAAGCAAATGGTGGGTATTTGTCGTTTCTAATGGCTGAGTAATATTCCATTGTATACATAAACCACACTTCTTTATCCATTCTTCTTTCAATGGACACCGAGGCTCCTTCCGCAGTTTGGCTATTGTGGACATTGCTGCTAGAAACATTGGGGTGCAGGTGTCCCAGCGTTTCATTGCATCTGTATCTTTGGGGTAAACCCCAACAGTGCAATTGCTGGGTCATAGGGCAGGTCCACTTTTAACTCTTTGAGGCACCTCCACACAGTTTTCCAGAGTGGCTGCACTAGTTCACATTCCCACTAACAGTGTAAGAGGGTTCCCTTTTCTCTGCATCCTCTCCAACATTTGTGGTTTCCTGCCTTGTTAATTTCCCCCATTCTCACTGGTGTGAGGTGGTATCTCATTGTGGTTTTGATTTGTATTTCCCTGATGGCAAGTGATGCCGAGCATTTTCTCATGTGTGTGTTGGCCATGTCTGTGTCTTCCTCTGTGAGATTTCTGTTCAAGTCTTTTGCCCATTTCATGATTGGATTGTTGAAACAAGGGCTTAAATGATACACTGGACCAGATGGATTTCACAGATATTTACAGAACTTTACAGCCAAACACAATTGAATACACATTCTTCTCAAGTACACATGGAACTTTCCCAAGAATAGACCACATACTGGGTCACAAATCAGGTCTTTTTTTTTTTTTTTTTTTTTTTTACAAATCAGGTCTTAACTGATACCAAAAGATTGGGATCATCCCCTGCATATTTTTAGACCATAATGCTTTGAAATTAGAGCTAAATCACAAGAGGAAGTTTGGAAGGATTTCAAATACGTGGAGGTTTAGGACCATCCTGCTAAAAGATGAAAGGGTCAACCAGGAGATTAGGTAAGAATTAAAAATATTCCTGGACTATGAAGATATAACCATTCAAATCTTTGGCATACAGCAAAAGCAGTCATGAGGGGAAATATATCACAATACAAGCATCCATCCAAAAACTGGAAAGAACTCAAATACAAAAGCTAACCTTGCACCTAAAGGAGCTGGAGAAAAAAAAGCATATAGTTCCTACACCCAGCAGAAGAAGAGAGTTAATAAAGATTCGAGCAGAACACAACGAAATCGAGACCAGAAGAACTGTGGAACAGATCAACAAAACCAGGAGTTGGTTCTTTGAAAGAATTAATAAGATAGATAAACCATTAGCCAGCCTTATTAAAAGGAAGAGAGAAAACACTCAGATTAATAAAATCGTGAATGAGAAAGGAAACATCACTACCAACACCAAGAAATTACAAACTATTTTTAAAACATATTATGAGCAGCTATACACCAATAAATTAGGCAATCTAGAAGAAATGATGCATTTCTGGAAAGCCACAAACTGCCAAAACTGGAACAGGATAAATAGTAAACCTGAACAGGCCAATAACCGGGTTGGAAATTGAAGCAGTCATCAGAAACCTCCGAAGACACAAAAGTCCAGGGCCAGATGGCCTCCCAGGAGAATTCTATCAAATGTTTAAAGAAGAAATAATACAGATTCTGCTAAAGCTGTTCCAAAAGATAGAGATGGATAACTTCCAAACTCATTCTATGAGGCCAGAAGACCTTAATTCCAAAACCAGACAAAGACCCCACCAAAAAAGGAGAATTATAGACCAATATACCTGATGAACATGGATGCAAAAATTCTCAACAAGATACTAGCCAATAGGATACAACAATACATTAAGATTATTCACCATGACCAAGTAGGATTTAACCCTGGGATGCAAAGCTGGTTCAACACTCATAAAACAATCAATGTGATTCATCATATCAGCAAGAGGAAAAAACAAGAACCATATGATCCTCTCAATAGATGCAGAGAAAGCATTTGACAAAAGACAGCATCCATTCCTGATCAAAACTCTTCAGAGGTAGGGATAGAGGGAACATTCCTCAGCATCTTAAAAGCCATCTACGAAAAGTCCACAGCAAATCTAATTCTCAGTGGGGGAGTACTGGGAGCCTTTCCCCTAAGATCAGGAACAAGACAGGGATGTCCACTCTCACCACTGCTATTCAACATAGTACTGGAAGTCCTAGCCTCAGCAATCAGGCAACAAAAAGACATTAAAGGCATTCAAATTGGCAAAGAAGAAGTCAAACTCTCCCTCTTCACCCATGACATGATACTCTACATTGAAAACCCAAAAGACTCCACCCCAAGATTGCTAGAACTCATACAGCAATTTGGCAGTGTGGCAGGATACAAAATCATGCCCAGAAGTCAGTGGCATTTCTATACACTAACAATGAGACTGAAGAAAGAGAAATTAACCAGTCAATCCCATTTACAATTGCACCCAAAAGCATAAGATACCTAGGAATAAACCTAACCAAAGAGGTAAAGGATCTATACCCTAAAAACTACAGAACACTTCTGAAAGAAATTGAGGAAGACACACAGAGATGGAAAAATATTCCATAGTCATGAATTAGAAGAATTAATATTGTGAAAATGTCAGTGTTACCCAGGGCAATTTACACGTTTAATGCAATCCCTATCAAAATACCATAGACTTTCTTCAGAGAGTTGGAACAAACCATCTTAAGATTTGTGTGGAATCAGAAAAGTCCCCGAATAGCCAGGGGAATTTTAAAAAAGAAAACCATATCTGGGGGCATCACAATGCCAGATTTCAGGTTGTACTACAAAGCTGTGGTCATCAAGACAGTGTGGTACTGGCACAAAAACAGACACATAGATCAATGGAACAAAATAGAGAACCCAGAAGTGGACCCTGAACTTTATGTTCAACTAATATTTGACAAAGGAGGAAAGACTATCCACTGGAAAAAAGACAGTCTCTTCAATAAATGGTGCTGGGAAAATTGGACATCCACATGCAGAAGAATGTAACTAGACCACTCTCTTGCACCATACACAAAGATAAACTCAAAATGGATGAAAGATAGAAATGTGAGACAAGATTCCATCAAAATCCTAGAGGAGAACACAGGCAACACCCTTTTGGAACTCGGCCACAGTAACTTCTTGCAAGATACATCTACAAAGGCAAGAGAAACAAAAGCAAAAATGAACTATTGGGACTTCATCAAGATAAGAAGCTTTGCCCAGCCAAAGATACAGTCAACAAAACTAAAAGACAAGCTACAGAATGGGAGAAGATATTTGCAAATGATCTATCAGATAAAGGGCTAGTTTCCAAGATCTATAAAGAACTTATTAAACTCAACACCAAAGAAACAAACAATCCAGTCATGAAATGGGCAAAAGACATGAACAGAAATCTCACAGAGGAAGACATAGACATGGCCAACAAGCACATGAGAAAATGCTCCACATCACTTGCCATCAGGTAAATACAAATCAAAACCACAATGAGATACCACCTCACACCAGTGAGAATGGGGAAAATTAACAAGACAGGAAACCACAAATGTTGGAGAGGATGTGGAGAAAGGGGAACCCTCCTGCACTGTTGGTGGGAATGTGTACTGGTGCAGCCACTCTGGAAATCTGTGTGGAAGTTCCTCACAGAGTTAAAAAGAGATCTGCCCTATGACCCAGTAATTGCACTGCTGGATATTTACCCCCAGAGATACAGATGCAATGAAGTGCCGGGACACCTGCACCTGACGTTTATAGCAGCAATGTCACAACAGCCAAGCTGTGGAAGGAGCCTTGGTGTCCATCGAAAGAAGAATGGATAAAGAAGATGTGGTCTATGTATACAATGGAATATTACTCAGCCATTAGAAATGACAAATACCCACCATTTGCTTCAACGTGGATGGAACTGGAGGGTATTATGCTGAGTGAAATGAGTCAATCGGAGAAGGAAAACATTATATGTTCTCATTCATTTGGGGAATATAAATAACAGTGAAAGGGAATATAAGGGAAGGGAGAAGAAGTGTGTGGGAAATATCAGAAAGGGAGACAGAACATAAAGACTCCTAACTCTGGGAAATGAACTAGGGGTGGTGGAAGGGGAGGAGGGCAGGGAGTGGGGGTGAATGGGTGACGTGCACTGAGGGGGGCACTTGACGGGATGAGCACTGGGTGTTATGCTATGTTGGCAAATTGAACACCAATAAAAATAAATTTATTATAAGAAGATAAAAATAATAAAAAGATAAAGAAGATGTGGTCTATGTATTCAATGGAATATTACTCAGCCATTAGAAACGACAAATACCCACCTTTGCTTCGTCATGGATGGAACTGGAGGGTATTATGCTGAGTGAAATGAGTCAATCAGATAAGAACAAACACGTTCTCATTCATTTGGGGAATATAAATAATAGTGAAAGGGAGTATAAGGAAAGGGAGAAGAAATGGGTAGGAAATATCAGAAAGGGAGACGGAACACGAGAGACTCCTAACTCTGGGAACCGAACTAGAGGTGGAGGAAGGGGAGGTGGGCGGGCGGGGAGGTGGGGTGACTGGGTGGTGAGCACTGAGGGGGGACTTGACGGGATGAGCACTGGATGTTATTGTATATGTTGGCAAGTTGAACACCAATAAAAAATAAATTTATATTTAAAAAAAACCACAATAAGATACCGCCTCACACCAATGAGAATGGTGAAAATGAACAAGACGGGTGGCCACAAATGTTGAAGAGCATGTGGAGAAAGGGGAACTCTCTTGCACTCCTGGTGGAATGTGAACTGGTGCAGCCACTCTGGAAAACTGTGTGGAGGTTCCTCAAAGAGTTAAAAATAGAACTACCCTATGACCCAGCAATTGCACTACTGTATTCTGTACAGATACAGATACAGTGAAACGGTAGGACACCTTCACCGCATTGTTTCTAGCAGCCATGTCCACAGTAGCCAAACTGTGGAAGGAGCCTCGGTGTCCATCGAAAGATGAATGGAAAAGGAGGTGTGGTTTATGTATACAATGGAATATTACTCAGTCATTAGAAATGACAAATACCCACCATTTGCTTCAACGTGAATACAACTTGAGGGTATTATGCTGAGTGAAGCAAGTCAATCAGAGAAGGACAAGCATTATATGGTCTCATTCTTTTGGGGAATATAAAAAATAGTGAAAGGGAATAATGGATAAAGGAGAGAAAATGAGTGGGAAATATCAGTGAGGGTGACAGAACATGAGAGACTCCTAACTTTGGGACATGAACAGGGGGCAGTGGGATGGGAGGTGGGCAGGGGGATGAGGTGACTGGGTGTTGGGAACTGAGGGGGTCACTTGACAGGATGAGCACTGGGTGTTATTCTATATGTTGGCAAATCGAACTCCAATAAAAAATATACAAAAAAAATACGAATCTCAGTCTGTGTTGAGTTTTGCTGAAGAGCAAAAACATCTTGTTTCTAGACCAGACAGGGCTTAGGGATCTTGGGGTCACATGAGAAGGAGCTTTGTGTTGACAGGATACTTATCTACTTTATTGCAGTGACAGTTACAGGAATCTACACATGTGATAAAATGCCATAGAAGAGTACGCATGTATCATGCTGTTGTCAAGTTTTTTCCCCCATTTTATCAGAATTTTATTTTATTTTATTAAAAAAAATTTTTATTGGAGTTAATTTGCCAACATACAGCATAACACCCAGTGCTCATCCCGCCAAGTGCCCCCTTCAGTGCCCATCACCCAGTCACCCCAACCCCCCGCCCACTTCCCCTTCCACTACCCCTTGTTCACGATTTAGATATTTGAATATCATTACAAAAAATACATATATATTTAAAATGTATCTTTTTCAGGAAACCAGGTGAAGGACCTCTGGTTATTGTTTTTGAAACTTCTTGTCAACTTACACTTATTTCAAAATAAAGACTTAAAAATAAAGACGTCTGTGAATAGACAATAAATAGATAAAAAACAGACCTTGTAGGGGCAAAGACACTAGTGGAATGAGTCTTCGTGTTTGAGAGGTCTTCCTATATCAAAAAGATATAACAGCCATCAAGGAAGCTTTCTACGTGAATATTGGTAATGCGAAGGAAATACTTAAAAAGAGAAGTATGAGTTTCAGAGATGTTCATCATGAGGAAACAGGGGAAAGAAACCTCCAGACCAGCAGTTTACTAAGTCAGTTCATCTAGCGCACAAGTAAACAGAAGTCTTTTTAGCACACACAGACCAAGTCCAGATGGCATCCTCTGTGGCTGTGCTCACTGGTGTCTGCACCAAGAGAAATGGGCATCCAAGGTTGCTGCCAGGTAGGCAGAATTACAATTGGCATAAGGCAACTAAAGCAACCCAGAACTCTATGCAGCATGAGAATTTTCTCTGTTCTTTGCTTTATTTCTGGTTTTTGCTCTATTTTTCACTGTTAGTTTCTACTATCTCTGTAAGGGAGAACAGGGATAAAATTTGAGGAATGGTATTAATTTAATTATACTAAGTTCTCAAGGAAGGAAGTTGGTGAAATTTTTTTCTAGGCACACTCGGATACTTTTCAGACCTTTCTCATTGTATGGCCTGTATTAAACCAGGTTCTCCAAAGAAACAGAACCAAGTTTGGTCTATCTCTATGTGTATATGTGCGCATATGTATAGAGATGTAAATGTGTGTGTAGATATGTATGTATGTGTGTGTGTGTGTGTGTGTGTAGAGAGAGAGAGAGAGAGAGAGAGAGAGAGAGATGAGAGAGAATGTGTTCGTTTAAGAAATTGGTTTATGAGATTGTTAAAGTTGGAAAGTCCAAAATCTGTAGGACAGGCTGGAAACCCAGGCATATTTTCAGGGACGCTGATGCTGCATCTCAAGTTTGAAGTCAGTCTGGAAGTAGAATTCTCTCTTCTTTGGAGGAGGTCCGTCTTTTTTCCTCCTAAGGTCTGTAACTGAGTGGGTGAGGCCCACCCACATGATGGAGGGTAATCCACTTGACTCAGAGTCTACTGACTTCAGTGTTACTCTTATTTAAAAAACCCACTTTCACAGCAACATCATGCCTCCCATGAATGGAATGACAGATTCTAACAGGTGGCCAGGTGATGATTGCCTGTGGGGTAGATTCCTTACTACCTGCAATGGTTTTCATACCACGAGGACTGTCCGGTGACCCATTGCTCAGGACCAGCCTGGGAGAGAAAGGGAAGGGCTGTGTCCTCAGTGTGCTGTAGGAGGGCTAGGAGCTCACTAGGAAGGAACCATAGAAGCCATGGGTGCTCCACTTGGAGAGGCCACTTAACCATGAGATTGTGTCTTGACCTGCCAGTGGTATAGTTCTCACCCCTTACCTGTCATCAATTCCCCGTCTCGCGACTCCAGGCTTTCTGCCTGGCCAAAACCACTATGAGCTGGGACTCAGACTTGGGGCTGTCTGATCCTCCAACCCACACTCTTCTTGTGTTCCCTGAAATATGTATTTTAAGAAGGGGGGATTGATCCTGGAAGAGAAATGCTCAGGGTAGATTTCCGCCATTGCCAGAGAACCAAGAACTTGGGCATGGGTATAACACAACAATCTGAGTACTTTGTGCTTCAAGGTGTACTGCCTCCATTGGGAGAAGCTGGAACTTCTCTCTCTCTCTCCCTCTCCCTCTCTTTTTAAAATGGTTTATATACTTGAGTGGGAAGGAGGGTTAGAAGAGGAGGGAAAGTATCCCAGTCAGACTTCCCACTGAGCAGAGAGCCTGATGCAGGGCTTGATCTCCCAAGGCATGAGATCATGACCTGAACTGAAAGTGAAAGTTGGACCTTAAACCTAGTGACCCACCCACGTGTCCCTGGGAGAGGCTGGAATTTCTAAATTGTGTCCTTGATATCATCTGTGTTTATTCTGTCCCTTTACTTTTAGCATGGAGGTTCCATAGGCATGGTGTCTGTTGGTGACTGACTCCTTGCAGAATCTGGGGAGAGGGAGGGTAGAGAACTGGTCCTGAAATCTTCATAAATTACAAGAGCCTTGGAAGAAACATAGGCTGCAGCATCAGAGCCACCAACCATAATGCAATGACCATGCGGACATGAACTGAAATTGGAGCTCCACTCCTCTTTTTGTCATCTTTCTGTTTTTTTTTTCTGCCCTAGGACTCTTGCTGTTGCTGCTGTTGGCATTGGGTGTTGGAGCCCAAATAAATAGTGGTAAGTCATCCTAGCCAGCCCCACTGAGGCTCTGGCGTTTTGCAGATAGCAGAAATTGTTTCTATCTTCTCAAATGTCCAGAGTTGTCTGTCTTTTCCTCTTCCAGTAGCAGCTATCCCTCTTTTTCCTCCACTCACCTTCCCCTGCTCTTGGACCCCCAACTGGCAGCTAGTTCCCTCCATTTATTGAGGCTTCTGACTGTGTCTCTGTCCCCACACCCTCTGCCTCCACAGACTCTGTTCGCCATTGCCCTCCGAAATCCACTATTTTCAAAGGTGACGCCTGTCTCTGCCTTCCGGGATTCAGTTCTTCATCTGGGAAGATTTTCCATGGCCGGGGGAGTTGTGATGGTAAAGGGGCCTGGAGTGTTGGAGGGGGATGGAGATGGTGGAGGGAGGTGATGGGGGGAAGGTGTTCTCCTCTCTATGCCTCAGTTTGCTTGCCTGTAAGTTGGGGATAATCATTGTACCTACCCCCCATGGATAGAATCAGATTTAAAATTTATGTGTGAGAAGGACAGGTAAAGACTAGTACAGAGCAGACTGCTAAACACAAGCTATTATCATGGTCACTGCTGCTATTAATTTATGATTCTCATAGCACAAGGAAAGGCGAGAGGTTGTGAAAGTAAGGAGAGGGAAGAAACTGCCAAGGCCTGCAAGCTCAGGCTCTCCTCCTAGCAAGAACTTGTGTGGAACATGTGCCTCCCTCTCACAGTCAAGATTTTCCACCTTCTTCCTCACAGTAGACCAATGAGAGAAGCAGAGCTACGTGTTTTTTTAAATGATCAAATTTGGACTCAAAGAGATTGACTGACCTGTCCAAGGTCCCGTAGTTAGTCTGGTGGTAGAACTAGATCTGGGTTGAAAACAGATTTTATTCTTCAACAACACAAATTATAAAAGGAGATTAATACTAAAAATGGTTAAGGTGATAAATTGTATGTTATGTGAACTTTACAATAAAAATGGGGGAAGGCAAATTGCACTGTATTCATACAAAAAATACTCTTCATTAATTAAAATTATCTTGGATGCATATGTATTAATAACAAAGGAAAATGGCTGGTGTGATTGGATCCCAGGTCCTTTCTGGGAGCACACCTGTCAGGTTGAGGGTTTCTCATCATTGTGTCTTCCCCTCCTGCACACCTCATTCTCACCTGTCTCCCACCCCACCCCACCCAACAACCTTGAAGGCAGATGTCCAGCCATTGCCACCATCTGAGAGGAGAAGAGGTCAGTCTCATTCCCCAGGTGGGGGTGAACATGAATGTGTCAGGTGTGTCTTCCCACATCCTGCCATGTCCTGGTGTTGACACTCAAGCCTGGACCTGGGACCTTAGAAGGGAAGTCTAGGAGTTCTGGTGGGAAACTGCTCTGGGGGAGACAAGTTGCCTGCCCTGACTCAGCGTGATGTCACAAGTCCTTTCAGGCTCTGAAAGTCTTTGGTTTCCTGATTGGAACGTACAGAAGAAACATTCTGTCTCTGCATTTTGATACATTCCTGTCTTGTAGATTCTTATTGAACAGTTATTTTTAGCCAGTGATGTGTAGCCCCAGCTCTGTGGGTCCTGAAGCTACTCAAAGAAAACCTTGCTGGAGGGAATCTTTGCTCTCATGTTTAGAGAACAGACAGAGATAAGATTCCAGAAATGCCTGCAGTGACTCAGCTGTGAGAACTGCATGCTGCTTCCTCATTTCATATCTGTGATCGGCTCTGATAAGAGGAACTTCCTCCAGGGTTGGAGGTAGCAAGACTTCTCCAGAAACATCCTCAGGCTTCTTGAAAATGTCTGATGTTGAGAGCTTGGGGGAGCAGGTGATGAGTACTCTGAGGTGTACTAAGGTCACCATGAGTAATTGGAGGTGGAAACTATCAATGGGCAGGGGCCTGACCACCTGGCTTCATCCTCAGGTTGAATGATGTGTACCACCCAGCCAGGGTTCCCTTCACTGACTTAGCATCGAGAGTGGGCTTCAGTGCCACTGTCACCCTGACTGGAGCCCAACTCCACATCCACAATAGTGTAAGCAGATTTATAGTGCTTTCGTCCACCTCACAAGGCCTGCAGAAGGGGATGCAGACCTCCTCGTAGCTCCCATTCTAAAATAACAGAGTATCTGAATCTAGGTGCCCTCAGACCCAACCAGAGAGTAGAGATGAGCAGAGCAGGTAGCAGGCTTTCTAGAGCAGCTGGCTCCAGCTCAGACCTGCTCCAGGAATGCCACCTGCAAGCTGAGTTCTCTCCAGTCCTGTTGGCAGAGTCAGGCTGGAGGTCAGGCCTCTGCCCTGCAGGAACTCACACCTTTGGGAGGTGACCCTTTGCCCTATTGTGTTCCAGACATCAATGAGTGTGGACCACCCCCGTTGGTGTCCTGTGGACGGTTAGCAGACTGTCAGAACACAGAGGGGAGCTACCACTGCATGTGCATCCTGGGATATGAGCTTGCTTCTGGGGCAACGACGTTCATGAATGAGAGTGAGAACACATGTCAAGGTAGGAACCACCCACACCTTCCATCTGCCCATCAGTGAGGTTTGGATCACTCACTCCACTTTCTCCAGGCATCAGAGAACACCCTGGGCATCTACCTGGTATAATGTCCCTTTCCAAATTCCCAGAGTCAGTACTTTCTCGAGAGGGTCACTCCTGTAATTTTTAAATATCCTCCTTGCCACTTGGCATCTTCTTTTCTTTTCTCCCCTCTTATTTAATTAATTAATTGTTTTTAAATGTTCAAGTTTTAATTTAAATTCCTTTTAGTCAACATACTAGTATATTAGTTTCAGGTATGGAATTTAGTGATTCATCACATCCATACAACACCCAATGCTCATTAGGATACATGCCTGTTTTCTTTTTTTTTTTATTTTTTTTTAAATTTTATTTATGACAGGCACACAGTGAGAGAGAGAGAGGCAGAGACACAGGCAGAGGGAGAAGCAGGCTCCATGCACCGGGAGCCCGATGTAGGATTCGATCCCGGGTCTCCAGGATCGCGCCCTGGGCCAAAGGCAGGCGCCAAACCGCTGCGCCACCCAGGGATCCCATGCCTGTTTTCATGCCCATTACCTATTTAGCTCATCCTCCCATTCACAACCCATCTGGAGGGACACAACCAGAGGATTATGTTCTATATTTACGAGTCTGTTTTCTCTCTTTTCCCCCCTAATGTTCATCTGTTTTGTTTTTTAAATTCCACATATCAGGGAAATCATATGATATTTGTCTCTCTCTGATTGACTTATTTCAGTTAGCATCATATACTCTTGCTTCATCCACATCACTGCAATGGCAAAAATTCATTCTTTTTGATGGCTGAGTAATATTCCATTGATATATACACCACATCTTCCTTAATCATTCATTAGTTGATGGACATTTGGACTCTTGTATAGTTTGGCTATTGTTGATAATGCTGCTATAAACACCAAGGTGCATGCATCCCTTTGAATCATGTTTTTGTATCCTTTGTGCAAATATCTAGTTGGCATTTTATTTTCATAAAGCAAAAGAGAGATGGCATCAAGGTACTTCACAATCTGAGAGCATGTATGTTCCAACATAATGTCCCTGCTGAGCCCATCTTAAAGGAAGCTGCCATGAGGAGGTGTGGCAGTGGAGAGGCAGCCATACTTTCAGGAATGGTGCGTGCTCAGTGCAGGCAGTGAGGAGACAGGAAACCTGGCCTGGGTAGGGCAGGGCTGACCCTCTGGGATATGTTCTAATAAGGACAGGGATGCAGCTTGGGACAGCATTGGTGCCATTCCCAAGCCCCCATCAGTCAACACAAGGGCATCTCAGTGTCACAACCTCCCACAACCTCCCATCACAGCCTCCCCCCTTTATCTACCCCCACAATCTGCACCATATGTGAAGAGACTCAGCTTTGTCTGGAATGACACATATTCCTGGTTGTCCCATGTCCACTTTGCAAGGAAATTATGGAGTTATTAGAGGAAAATGCTATCATTACATTTATACTGACAGGCTAGGTGGCTGGTACGTGTGTGTTGTATTCTTGATGTGAAGTGCTAAAGAGTCTGAAAGAAGGACAGGAAGGATGGGTTCAGTGAGGGGAGGACACTATGACCGTCTGGCTTTCCTCAGATGTGAATGAATGTACCTCGGGGCAGAACCCATGCCACAACTGCACCCACTGCCTCAACAACATCGGTGGCTATGAGTGCCACTGCCACCCGGGATGGAAGCTGGTTCCTGGATCCCCCAATGGCCCAAACAGCACCGTCTGTGAAGGTCCAGAGCTCAGACGCCACATCCTGGAGACCCACACTCAGAACATCTGATCACATATTCAGTGACACCCACACAAACCAAGCAGCATGAACCCTGGGGGTGTCCTGCCCTCCCAGGCATTAATTCCTTTGAGGCTACGTGGGAAAAGATCTGGGGTTTCCCGGGGAAGGAGCTGGGGTACCGAAGAGCAGGCTCCTTGGAGACCCCAGGCAGCAGCTAATTACTAACTGGGACAAAGGTATTTCTATATTCACAACCTGCACATCAGTACAGGGATCACATGCTAGGTGTCAGGCTTCCGCACACTTCCCATAAGCCCTGCATCACCAGGATGTGGGGTCAGCAGGTGATATCACCTCCCATCAATGGGAGACACTAACACAGGAAACAGGAGCAGGGCATGGAGAGGAAAGGTGTTCTGATTCCCATCTTTGTGCCCCCAGATGTGGACGAGTGCAGCTCTGGGCAGCATACATGCCATCACTCCACCATCTGTGTCAACACTGTGGGCTCCTACCAGTGCCGCTGCCGCTGGGGCTGGGAGCCCAAACCTGGATTCCAGGATAAGCAACTGAACACCACCTGTGAAGGTACCTGGTCTCACTTGACCCCAGACCTGCCCCTGATACAGACATAAACACAGACACTCTCACACCTAATGAACATCTGTTCTATCCCCTGCAGAGATGTCCTTCCCCACCTGGACCCCACCCCCTGGAATCAAGAGCCAGGTGAGTGGCCCCAGTAGGGACCAGGAGGGAGGCATCCCTCTGTGCAGCCCATCTGATTCACCCATTTCCCCTAGGCTCCCACATCCACATGTGAGGATCTCTGACCTCTCTCATCTCTATTCTAGAGACTCTCTAATTTCTTTGAAAGAGTCCAAGAGCTGCGCAGAGACTTCAAGCCAGCCTTGGCTCAGGAAACCATCCAGGTAAGGGCACACCCCAGGAGAGGCAAGGTGGAGGCATCCCATAGAGGCCTGGGAGCAGGAAGCCCCAACAAAATGCTGCCTCTCTGAGGCCCCGTTCCTCCCAGAGTGGGTGGGAAGAGCAGACATGCAGACATTGGTACTCATTGTTAACACCCACCTGCGCCCATAAATAACTTTTCTTCCTGCTGTTTATGGACATTGGGCTAATTTAATTCTTGGAATTTGTGAGAAAGGGTTGACTATTTGTGGCTGGATTGCAGGGGCAAAGACCCAGGGAATCTGATCCAGTACCACCTTTGTCTACCAATGAATCTCCAGGGTCTGCTCTTGGGCTGAGTGGGCAGGGTCTTCATGGCTCACTGTGTCCCCATCCCCCTAGAAACTCATATGGGGGGTGGATGAGCTGCTGGAGACTCCGGGGGATCTGGAGGCCCTGCCTCGCTCAAAACAGCACTATGTGGCCACTAACCTGCTGGTTGGCCTGGAAGATGTCCTGAGAGATGTAAGCCAGGCCCTGCCCAATGGGCTGTTGACCTTCAATTCATCTGCAGGCACAGGTAAGTGCTGGGGTCTGCCTCAGGCTCCTGCTCTGCCTGTTCCCCACCTCATTTGTCCCCCAACCTCCCTGGAGGGAGTGAACATGTGTATAGCATTATAAACCAATTAAGAGGTTAAAAATAAATGAATAAACCTTGAATCATATACATTTTCATTTTATTTTTTTATTTTTTGAATTTTAAAGACATTTTTATTTATTTTATTTTTATTTTATTTATTTTATTTTATTTTTTAATAATAAATTTATTTTTTATTGGTGTTCAATTTGCCAACATACAGAATAACACCCAGTGCTCATCCTGTCAAGTGCCCACCTCAGTGTCTGTCACCCATTCACCCCCACCCCCCGCCCTCCTCCCCTTCCACCACCTGTAGTTCGTTTCCCAGAGTTAGGAGTCTTTATGTTCTGTCTCCCTTTCTGGTATTTCCTACCCATTTCTTCTCCTTTCCCTTCTATTCCCTTTCACTATTATTTATATTCCCCAAATGAATGAGAACATATAATGTTTGTCCTTCTCCGATTGACTTATTTCACTCAGCATAATACCCTCCAGTTCCATCCACATTGAAGCAAATGGTGGGTATTTGTCATATTACTTAGCCATTAGAAATGACAAATACATTTTCATTTTAATGTAAGTTATCAGCAGATGAAATAATTATAGTGAAGAATTTAAGATAACCAAAGAGAAATATCTTCAAAAGGAGATAATTAAAAAATTTTAAGAATATACATTTGCTATTATTTGATATTTAAGTATGACTTATTTTATTGAGGTAAATTCATGTAACATAAAATTCACCATTTTGAACAAAGTGTACAATTTAGTTGTACTTCATACACCCAGAGTTGTACAATCATGACCTCCATCGAAAATATTTTCATCACCCCAAATGTAAATAGTGTATCCACTATGCAGTTCCTTCTCATCTCTCCTCCGTCAGCCCCTGACAGCCACCAGTCTGTTTTCTATGTCTATGGATTTGCCTTTTTTGGGCATTTCATATCTATATGAAAGAATCATAGTTTCTTTCACACAGCATCATGGCTTCAAGGTGAATCCATGTTGTAGCATGTGGCAGTATTTCTTTCTTTTTTATGGTTGAATAATATTCCAGCATTGTGGATACAGCACCTTTTGTATATCCATTCATCCACTGACGGACTTTTGTGTTGTTGTTACCATTTGATTATTTTGAATGGTGTTATTATGAATATTGGTGGACAAGGTTTTTTTGAATAACTGTTCTCAGCATTTTGCATATATACATAGGTGTGGAATTTCTCAGCATTGAGGTCACTCTGTGTTCAACCAACTTTTTGAGGAACCACCAAACTCTTTCCAAAATGGAGGCACCATTTCACATCCCCACCTAGAACACACAGAGTTCCAATATCCACATTCTCAGCAGCACTTGGTACTTAACATTTTTTTCTTATAGCCTTTATAGTGTATGTCAGGTGATATCTCGTTATGGTTTTGATTTGCATTTTCCAAATGACTAATGATATTTAACGTCTTTTCATGTGATTGTTGAATATCAGTATTTTTTTGAGAAATGTCTATTCAAGTCCTTTGCCTTTATAAAATAATTCTTTGTTTAACTTTTGGTTTTAAGCTGTAAGAATTCTTTATATATTCTATGGTAGACTGTATGAGACATGTGATTTGCTAATTTTTTTCATTTCATAGGTTGTCTTTCCACTTTCTCATGGTCTTTTTGCTCTAATGAACAAATGCTTCTGTTTTGATGAAATCCTTTTTGTTGCATGTGCATTTGGGGTCTTCTGTAAGAATCCATTGCCAAATCCAAGGCTATGGAGATTTACATCTGCATTTTTTCCCTAACTGTTCTAGTTTTAGCTCATAAATTTAGGTCTTTGATACATTTTTTTTACATTTTAAAATTTAAATTCAATTTTCCACTACAGTATAACACCCAGTGCTCATTCCATCAAGTGCCTTTGATACAGTTTGAGTTAATGTTTGTGTGTTGTGCGAGATAAGAGTTCCAGCTTCCTTCTACTGCAAGTGGATATCCACATGTGCCAACACCATTTGATGAAGAGAGTTTTCTTTTCCCACTGAAGAGTCTTGGTATCCTTTGTTGAAAATCAATTGATCGGGGCACCTGGGTGACAGTGGTTTAGTGTCTGCTTTTGGTTCAGGTCATGATCCCAGAGTCCTGGAATCGAGTCCCACATTGGGCTCTCCACAGGGAGCCTGCTTCTTCCTCTCTCTCTCTGCCTCTTTGTGCCTCTCATGAATAAATAAATAAAATATTTTTTAAAAAAGAAAATCAATTGATTACAGAAGTATGGGTTTATTTTTGGACATTCAATTTCATTTTATTGCTCTATATGTTTTTTTGGCATTTTTTTATTGGAGTTAAATTTGCCAACATATAGTATAACACCCAGTGCTCATCCTGTCAAGTGCCCCCCTCAGTGCCCATCACCCAGTCACCCCATCCCCCTGCCCACCTCCCATTCCACTACCCCTTGTTAATTTCCCGGAGTTAGGAGTCTCTCATGTCTGTTACCCTCTCTGATTTTCCCACTCATTTTCTCTCCTATATGTTCATCCTTATGTCAGTAACCTACTGTTCTGATTATTATAGGTTAGTAGTTAGTTTTGAAATCAGGAGGTGTAAGTATTCCAATTTTGGTTTTCATTTTCAGGATTGTTTTAGGTATTTGGGCCCCTTGGAATGTCCTGTGAATTTTAGGATAGACTTGTCCATTTCTTTTTTTTAAAGATTTTATTTATTCATAGACACACACACACACACACACACAGAGGCAGAGACACAGGCAGAGGGAGAAGCAGGTTCCATGCAGGGAGCCTGACGTGGGACTCGATCCTGGGTCTCCAGGATCACGCCCTGGACTGAAGGCAATGCTAAACCTCTGAGCCACCTGGGCTGCCCTGACTTGTCCATTTCTAAAGAAATTATTTTTGGATAATATTCTATAAAGGAGGAAAGACTATCCACTGGAAGAAAGGCAGTCTCTTCAGTAAATGGTGCTAGGAAAATTGGACATCCACATGCAGAAGAATGAAACTAGACCACTCTCTTGCACCATACACAAAGATAAACTCAAAATGGATGAAAGATCTAAGTGTGAGACAAGATTCCATCAAAATCCTAGAGGAGAACACAGGCAACACCCTTTTGGAACTCGGCCACAGTAACTTCTTACAAGATACATCCACAAAGGCAAAATAAACAAAAGCAAAAATGAACTATTGGGACTTCATCAAGATAAGAAGCTTTTGCACAGCAAAGGATACAGTCAACAAAACTAAAAGACAACCTACAGAATGGAAGAAGATATTTGCAAATGACGTATCAGATAAAGGGCTAGTTTCCAAGATCTATAAAGAACTTATTAAACTCAACAGCAAAGAAACAAACAATCCAATCATGAAATGGGCAAAAGACATGAACAGAAATCTCACAGAGGAAGACACAGACATGGCCAACATGCACATGAAAAAATGCTCTGGATCACTTGCCATCAGGGAAATACAAATCAAAACCACAATGAGATACCACCTCACACCAGTGAGAATGGGGAAAATTAACAAGGCAGGAAACCACAAATGTTGGAGAGGATGTGGAGTAAAGGGAACCCTCCTGCACTGTTGGTGGGAATGTGAACTGGTGCAGACACTCTGGAAAACTGTGTGGAGGTTCATCAAAGAGTTAAAAATAGATCTTCCCTACGACCCAGTAATTGCACTGCTGGGGATTTACCCCAAAGATACAGATGCAATGAAACACTGGGACACCTGCACCCCAATGTTTCTAGCAGCAATGTCCACAATAGCCAAACTGTGGAAGGAGCCTTGGTGTCCATCGAAAGATGAATGGATAAAGAAGATGTGGTCTATGTATACAATGGAATATTACTCAGCCATTAGAAACGACAAATACCCACCATTTGCTTCAACATGGATGGAACTGGAGGGTATTATGCTGAGTGAAGTAAGTCAATCGGAGAAGGAGAAACAGTGTATGTTCTCATTCATTTGTGGAATATGAATAATAGTGAAAGGGAATATAAGGGAAGGGAGAAGAAATGTGTGGGAAATATCAGAAAGGGAGACAGAACATAAAGACTCCTAACCCTGGGAAACGAACTAGGGGTGGTGGAAGGGGAGGAGGGCGGGGGGTGGGGGTGAATGGGTGACGGGCACTGAGGGGGACACTTGACGGGATGAGCACTGGCTGTTATTCTATATGTTGGCAAATTGAACACCAATAAAACATAAATTTATTTAAAAAGAAACACACTTAAAAAGAAAGAAATTATTGTTGGAATATTGATATAAATTGTATTTATTCTGTAGAGCCTATTGGGAAATATTGCTATCTTAATAATATTAAACCTTTTAATCTATGAATAATGAATGTTTTCCCAGTTACTTAGGGTATTTCACTTCTAATTTTTTTTGTAGTTTTCTGTGTACAAGTCTTGACCCCCCTTGGGTTAAATTATTCTTAATGTTTTGCTAATTATTTTACATTTACGACAGGCAGTGAGGGGGGCACTTGATGGGATGAGCACTGGGTGTTATACTGTATGTTGGCAAATCAAACTGGCATATAAAATATATAAAAATGCATTTATGTTCATAAGAAATATTGGTCTATAATTTTCTTATAACGAATTTATCTGGTTTTGTTATCATGGTTATGGTGGCTTCATAAGATTATTAGGTATAATTCTTTCCCTTTCTATTTTTGGAAGAATTTACAAAGGATTCTTGTTAATTCTTACTTAAATAGTTGGGAGAATTCAGCAGTAAAGTCATCTGGTCTAAGCTTTTTATTTTGGGGAATATCTGTTCCATTATCTTTGCCCATGATGGGTCTGTTCAACTTTATTCTTTTATTACTTTTGTAGTTTGTATGTCTCTAGGAATTTGTCACTTTCATCTAGGTTATCCATCCATTTGTTGGTGTCCAAAAGCTCATAGTATTTTCTCATAAACCTTTGTAAATTGTGTGTATGTGTAAACACATATATAAAATAATGGTGTTATAGCAACCATTCCAGGCAGAATTACTAACCTAACTTCCTTATATAACTCCTACAACTTGTAGATCTGTCCCTGGAGGTGCAGGAGCAAGGACATAATAATGTCACTTTGAGTCAGAATCAGGCAAAGATGCTGTTGAAATGGGATGTGGTGCATGAATCTGGTGACTCAGGTAATGGCTGAGGTGGGAGGAAGGCCATGAGATGCCTAAGGATGTGACAAACAGGGAACTGAAGATTAAAGGGAAGGGGGGATGTAGTGGGACCACAAAGAATCCATTTGAGGAGAAAGGGGCCCTGTTGGGCTTCCCAAGGTATCAACATTGGTCTTGCCCTGCAGGTCCTTCTGTGGTGGGCCTCATCTCTACTCCGGGGATGGGCAAGTTGCTGGCTGAAGCCCCTCTGGTCCTGGAGCCTGAGAAGCAGGCTGTTCTGCACGGGGCACACAAAAGCTTGTTGCAAGGAGTCTCCCCTGTTCTGCTCTCAGATGTTATCTCGGCCTTTATGAGCAACAAGAAGCTCAGCTCCCCCATCATCTACATCTTATTCCACCATGTGAGTGCTGGTGGCATGGGGCTGTGGATGTGGAAGAGCCTGGGTCCTGAGTACAGCCTCACTGCCTACCTCAGCCTTGAGGTTCTGGAGGGCTCCCCCACGAGTACGTCATTACCCCAGGAAAGCTCTTTGCAAGCCAGCTTTGGATAAGCATTTCTGAGCACCAGAACCACCAGCTCCCACCTATGTTTTTCCTACAGTCAGTGACCCCTGGGCCAACAAAAAAGGTGTTCTGTGTCTTTTGGGAGCACAGTCAGGATGGATCTGGTCATTGGTCCACCAGAGGCTGCACAATGGTGAATAGTGGAGATACCAGCACCACCTGCCAGTGCACCCACCTCAGCAGCTTTGCCGTCCTCTTGGCCCACCACGATGTGCAGGTGAGAGGGGCTGCATCCCATGTCTATTTCTCAGTAACACATTTCCCCACATGTAGAAGCTTAAAAAACAGAAATCTGTGTCTTGTGGTTTCTTTAGGGCAGCAGTCAGGCATGGTATGGCTGAATTGCTATTCAGGATCTTCACAAGCCTGAAATCCTTGAATCAGCTAGGGCTGCATTCTCTTCTGAGGCTCAGGGTCCTCCTGTGAGCTCCCTGGTTACTGGCATGATTCAGTTCCTTTCAGTCATAAACTGGGGTTCTACTTTCTAGCTAGCTGTGAGCAGGGGACTGTGCTCAGCTCCTAGGGGGTACCTCCATTCCTTCTCTCTCAGACCCTCACACAAATATCAGCATTCCTTTTTCTTATCTAATTTTTAAACTTAAATTGAGTTTAGTCAATGTGTCTGTATTTTTAGTTTCAAGGGGAGGATTTAGTGATTCTTCAGTTGCACATATCATACCTAGTGCTCATTACATCAAGTGCCCTGAGTAATGCCCATCACTCAGTTACCTCATTCCCCTATGCACCTCCCCTCCCCCCAGCAACCCTGTTTGTTTCCTAGAGTTAAGAATCTCTTACAGTTTGTCTCCCTTTCTATTTTCATCTTATTTTGTTTTTCCATCCTTTCCCCTATTTTCATATTTTGTTTCTTGAAGTCCATATATGAATGAAATCATATGGTATTTATTTTTCTTTGATTAGCTTATTTTGCTTAGCATTATACCCTCTATTTCCATTCAGATTATTGAAGATGACAAGATTTCATTCTCTTTGAGGGCTGGGTAATATTCCATTTTTTGATGGTTGAGTAATAATCTATATCTATATCTATATCTATCTCACATCTTCTTTTTTATTTTATTTTTATTTTTTTATTGGAGTTCAATTTGCCAACATATAACATAACACCCAGTGCTCATCCCATCAAGTGCCCCCCTCAGTGCCTGAACCCAGTCACCCCCACAGCCCGCCCACCTCCCTTTCCACCACCCCTTGTTTGTTTCCCAGAGTTAGGAGTCTCTCATGTTCTGTCTCCCTTTCTGATATTTCCCACTCATTTTTCTCCTTTCCCCTTTATTCCCTTTCACTATTTTTTACATTTCCCAAAAGAATGAGACCATATAATGTTTGTCCTTCTCTGATGGACTTACTTCACTCAGCATAATACCCTCCAGTTGTATCCACGTTGAAGCAAATGGTTGGTATTCATCGTCTCTAATGGCTGAATAATATTCCATTGTATATGTATACCACATCTTCTTTATCCATTCATCAGTCAAAGGACATCAAGGCTCCTTCCACAGTTTGGCTGTTGTGGAAATTGCTGCTATAAACATTGAGGTGCAGGTATAGGATCTGAATTCCATCTGAAAAATCCCTTCACAGCAGCACCTAAAATGGTATTTAACTGAAAATTTGGAAGAAAGTGTGTGTGCACCTTCATCATTCATTGCCAAATTAGAATTCTGCTTATCACAAGAGTCATCAAGACTAGAAGGCTGTAGGCAGGGGCTCTCAAGGACTGTAGAAAGGAAGATTTGGTGGTGGCAGAGGTCAAAGGGGGCCAGGAAAGCCAGTGAATGCAGGGGGGTTAGGAACTGTTTGACTCCTCCCCAGCCATGTGAGCTGGTTACTTCCTCTGGATCACCACTCCAAAGACTTAGGCGATCTGTAAAGTAAAACAAATCCCTGTAAGTTCCAGGGCTTTGTCTTGAATAAGGACTTTCTTATCCAGAAGATGTGGTTTATGTATACAATGGAATATTACTCAGCCATTAGAAACGACAAATACCCACCATTTGCTTCAACGTGGATGGAACTGGAGGGTATTATGCTGAGTGAAGTAAGTCAATCGGAGAAGGACAAACAGTGTATGTTCTCATTCATTTGGGGAATATAAATAATAGTGAAAGGGAATATAAGGGAAGGGAGAAGAAATGTGTGGGAAATATCAGAAAGGGAGACAGAACATAAAGACTCCTAACTCTGGGAAACGATCTAGGGGTGGTGGAAGGGGAGGAGGGCGGGGGGTGGGGGTGAATGGGTGACGGGCACGGAGGGGGACACTTGATGGGATGAGCACTGGGTGTTATTCTGTATGTTGGTAAATTGAACACCAATAAAAATTAATTTATAAATAAAAAAAATAAATTTATTAAAAAAAAAAGAAATGACAAATACCCACCATTTGCTTCAACGTGGATGGAACTGGAGGGTATTATGGTGAGTGAAATGAGTCCACCGGAGAAGGACAAGCATTATATATTCTCATTCATTTGCAGAATATAAATAATAGTGAAAGGGAAGAGAAGGGAAGGGAGAAGAAATGGGTAGGAAATATCAGAAAGGGAGACAGAACATAAAGACTCCTAACTCTGGGAAACGAACTAGGGGTGGTGGAAGGGGAGGAGGGAGGGGGGTGGGGGTGGATGGGTGATGGGCACTGAGGGGGGCACTTGATGTGATGAGCACTGGGTGTTATTCTGTATTTTGGCAAATTGAACACCAATTAAAAATAAGTTTATTATTAAAAAAAGGACTTTTTTTATTCCTCAATTCTTACAGGATCTGAACTAATCAGATCAGAATTCCATAAAATTATAGCATTCTGAACCTGGAGGAACATACCCAACAACAGAGTAAATTTACCTGGTTCCTATATTCTTGATGTTACTATGTCAATAAATAAAATTATAAATGATGAAAGAGTCACTACTCCAGAGTAGGAAAATGTGACTTTGATGTATTCTTTGCTTCTCTTGGCTGGGTCCCAGGATGATGATCCCATGCTGGCTATGATCACATACGTGGGGCTGGGCCTTTCTCTGATGTGCCTCCTCCTGGCAGCCCTCACCTTCCTGCTGTGCAAGGCCATCCAGAACACCAGCACCTCCCTCCACCTGCAGCTCTCAATCTGTTTGTTCCTGGCTCACCTGCTCTTCCTCGTGGCCATTGACCGGACTGAAATCAAGGTACTGACACTGTCACAGAGATACCCCTGCCCTGCAACAGGGGATCCTCAGTTTATGGACCTGTGCTGCATTGGTACCTTAATAAAATGGCCTTGGGTCCCAAAGAAGTTTTTAATGATATGTAGCCTATTTCACATTGACAAAACTAGATAAAAACCGTCTTTTGACAAGTGCTTTATTGTACACATGAGAGTTCACTCCAATGGCGAGATATGGGACAGGTCCTGGGGCCACCTCCTCTCTGAAAATCCCTCCTGGTGGCACCCCCCCAGGTGCTGTGTTCCATCATTGCAGGTGCCTTACACTATCTCTACCTGGCCTCCTTCACCTGGATGCTGCTGGAGGGTCTACACCTCTTCCTCACTGCACGCAACCTGAAGGTGGTCAACTACTCCAGTGTGAACAGGTTCATGAAGAAGCTCATGTTCCCTGTGGGATATGGAGTCCCAGCCATAATTATGGCCATTTCTGCTGCATCCAGGCCTCACCTTTATGGAACACCCACCCGGTAAGTGCAAGTTCTCTACACGATCATGGCCATGACTAGAACCAGAGTAGCAGTTTTTAATTATGCCAGAGCGTAATGCAAAGAAGGCACAGGAAGTAAGAATTCTTAGAACATCTTTCTGGTGGAAAATTATAATCAAGCAGAATGTCTTTAAAGCTCTGTTCTCTGAATAGTAAAAGTGAAGCCAAAATAAGTGCTTGGAACATCATTTTGAAAAAAAATGTAATCTACTTTGTCAAAATCCTTTAGGATGTTCCAATATTTTTATTTGGAAAAAGAGAGTTGATTTAAATAATCAAGTAATAGGTTCCATCATAGTTTTCATGGTACCTACTTTATGCCATGCATTTCTACCCATTTCTATATGTGTTAACTCACTTAATCCACTTTTATATGCAATTCCAATGCATATAAAAATAGTGAAAGGGATCATAGGGGAAAGGAAAGAAAATGATTGGGGAAAAATCAGAGAAGGTGACAAAACGCGAGAGACCCCTAACTCTGGGAAATGAACAAGGGGTAGTGGAAGGGGAGGTGGGAAGGGGATGGGGTGACTGGGTAATGGGCACTGAGGGGGGCACTTGACAGGATGAGCATTGGGTGTTATACTATATGTTGGCAAATCAAACTCCAATAAAAGAATATACCAAAAAAAAACCCCATAAAAAAGAGATACCACCTCACACCAGATTGAGCAGTTTTTCTTGTGTTTATGGACTATCTGGAGTTCTTAGGAAAATGCCTTTGGAGGGGCAGAAGGAAAGAGAGATGGATCTTAAGCAGACTCTGTGCTCAGCATGGAGCCCACCTGGGGCTTGATCTCATGACCCCGAGATCATGACCTGAACTGAAATCAAGGGTTGGATGCCTTTTTTTAAAAAAGATTTTATTTATTGATTCATCAGAGACACACACACACACACAGAGGCAGAGACACAGGCAGAGGGAGAAGCAGGCTCCATGCAGGGAGCCCAACGTGGGACTCGATCCTGGGTCTCCAGGATCATGCCCTAGGCTATAGGCAGCGCTAAAGCGCTGAGCCTCTGGGGCTGCCCAAGGGTTGGATGCTTCAATGACTCTGCCACCCAGATGTATCTTTTGCAACAGGAAAACCAAAGAGTCACAAACAAAAACATACTTACAGTGTCTTTCCTTATACCTACCTAGGTACTTTTACTGGTGCTCTTTATTTCTTTGGAGTCACATTACCATTTAGTGTCCTTTCCTTTCCTTTTTTTTTTTAGTGTCCTTTCCTATTAGCCTGAAGGACCCATTGAGTATTTCCCTTAGGACTGTTCAGCAAGCAAGAATTATCTTATTTTTGTTTATCTTGAAGTGCCTTAATTTCTTCAGTTTTCTTTTTTTTAAAGATTTATTTTTATTTATTTATGATAGACATAGAGAGAGAGAGAGAGGCAGAGACACAGGCAGAGGGAGAAGCAGGCTCCATGCTGGGAGCCCGACGCGGGACTCGATTCCGGGAATCCAGGATCACGCCCTGGGCCAAAGGCAGGCGCGAAACCGCTGAGCCACCCAGGGATCCCTCTTCAGTTTTCAAGGAGAATTTAGCTAGATATGGAGGTCTTGGTTGACCATATATATTTTTGGACACTTTGAAGATGTTATTCCACTGCTTTTTGACCTTCATGATCTCAGACAAGGAATCACTCTTTAATCTTATTGAGATCTTTTGACACGAAAAATCAGTTTTCTCTTGCCACTTTAAAGATTTTGTCTTTTGTTAGAAGGTCTATGAGATGTTTCAGTGTTTCAGGATCTATTTGAATTTATTCTACTTGTAGTTCATTGAGCTTCTTAGATGCTTAGTTCAATATTTTTATTAAAATTTGGGAAGTTTTTAGCCTTTCATTCTTCAAGTTTATTCTGTTCTTTTGCTTTGTCTTATTCTGGGATTCTAATTATGTGTATGTTGGTGCACTTGGTCCTGTGCCATAAGTCTCTGAGGTCTGTATGTTTTTCTTCATTCTATTTTCTTTTGTTCCTCAGATGGCATAATTTCTATTGACCTATTTTCAAATTTATCAATTTTTTCTTTTACCAGTTACAATCTTTTTTTCAGTTTAAATATTTATTTTATTTTATTTTTTTTATAAATTTATTTTTTATTGGTGTTCAATAGATCATAAATTTTTGGTTAAAACTCAATATTTAAGATAATATATTGTGACACTTCTGTTTTCAGACTTGTCTATCCTCCAAGATAATGTGTTGTTTCTTATTTTTGGTGTTTTTGTTTGTTTGTAGGTAACTTTTTTGGGCTAATTCTATAGATTGGTTATTCCTTGTAGAGTGTGACCTCTGAGTTCTCTGTTAGTTTTATTAAGGTTCTTATTTTTATTCCTAGTTCTGGGTTGTTAGGGTTTTGGTCACATCTGGGTCAGTATAATTTAATGATTACCCAATGTTTGTTCAGATTTCCTTAGTGCTTTGCCTATATGCTTCGCATTCTTTTTCAAAGGTATCTGTGTGAGAAGGCACACCTCCAAACTTTGGGTAGTTTACATAATAGTCTTAGCTTTCACTTTCTGATTGCACAAAGCCTCAAGGTCAGTCAGAGGTGAGAAACTAGTGCTTTTTTTCTCCCATGCCCTTCTATTTTTTAAAAAAATTATATTGAATTTAATTAAAATGTAGTGTATTATTAGTTTCAGAGGTAGAATTTAGTGATTCATTAGTTGTAAGTAACACCCAGTGTTATTGCATCAGATGCCCTCCTTAATGCCATCACCCAGTTACCCTATCTCCCCACCCACTTCCCTCCAGCAACCCTGTGCTGAGTGTCTCTTTTGGTTCATTTCCCTTTTTGATTTTGTCTTATTTTATTTTCTCTTACCTTCCCCAATATTCATCTGTTTTGTTTCTTAAATTATGCATATGAGTGAAATCACCTGAGATTTGTCTTTCACTTACTTACTTATTTCACTTAGCATAGTACTCTCTATTTCCATCCATGTCAAATCAAATGATAAGATTTCTTTCTTTTTGATGGCTGAGTAATATTCCATTGTATGTATATGCCACATCTTCTTTATCCATTCATCTGTCAATGGACATCTGAGATCTTTTCATATTTTTGTTATTGTGGACATTGTTGCTATAAACATTGGGGTACAGGGATCCCTGGGTGGTGCAGCGGTTTGGCGCCTGCCTTTGGCCCAGGGCGCCATCCTGGAGACCTGGGATTGAGTCCCACATTGGGCTCCTGGTGCATGGAGCCTGCTTCTCCCTCTGCCTGTGTCTCTGCCTCTCTCTCTCTCTCTCTCTGACTATCATAAAAAAATAAAAATTAAAAAAACCCCAAAACATTGGGGTACATCCTCATGCCTTTTTTGAATGAGGCATATCCTCATACATCCTTAGACTTACAGGAGTATTTCAGAGATTTTCAAAATTTGTTATGATCCTTTGGTTCTACAATATTTCCTTTTATTTTTTTTAAGATTTTATTTATTTACTTGAGAGAGAGGGATACAGAGAGAGGGAGAGCATGTATGTAGAAGAGGGAAAAACAGTCTCCCTTCTCAGCAGGGGCTCAATCCCAGGACCCTGAGATCATGGCCTGAGCTAAGGGTAGATGCTTAACCAACTGAGCCACCCAGATGCCCCTCTAGTATTTCCTTCAAAATGATGGACAAGTTCTTGTTGATCCCACCTGAAATCACAAGCCTAGGCTGCTGGTGATGTGAGAGTAGTTTGCAATTATATTGGCAATTGTCTAAAGTAGGTTCCTTACCCATGAGTTCTCAGTCAAATCAAATAGCCACCAAATTTATAGAATAAAGAGCTGGGGAACTGGAGTAAAAAAATATTGGTTGTGTTTTGGGGGTATGTGTGATGATGATGCCTTTAATGGAACTCCAAAAATAGATCTCTCCATTGTCTTCAGTGCTCTCAACTTGTGCACCTGATGCACCACTAAGCTCTAAGTTAAAGCATCACAGATTCCTTTATCCTCAGTCTTACTGAGGTTCAGGAATTTCTCTTGGACAGACTATCTTCAATTTGTTCTGTGGTTTTGGGTAATTGCCAGAGTCTTGAAATGATTGGTTGTCATTATTTTGCTTGTATTTTTGTTGTCTTAGAAGGAGAGCAAGTTCACAAATGTCCTTACTCCTTCATTCAGGAAGTCGGTTCCCAGAATGTGCACTCTAAACCACAACTTGCTGCTAAAGCTTACATTCATCTACATCAACTGAACTCTTTCCAGGTTGTTTTTCCTGGGCACTTCAGTTCTTCCTTGCTTAGATTCTTCTTAGTCTATACTTCACGTGTCCTGAAATGGCCTTACACACTTTCCATTGTTCTGAAGTACCCTGCACACTCTACTTTAATGTAGGATCAAAAGTGAATTCTATCACTGTGTATCAGTGACAGCTTCAGCAAGAGACCAAAACTTTCTATGAATTATTAACAATTGGTGATCATAAGAGAATGTCTGTTTTGTGCTGTTGTTAAAATTAAATCAAATATCTCAATAACCAAAGACAAATAACTCAATTTAAAAATGGACAACACAGGGATCCCTGGGTGGCACAGCGGTTTGGCGCCTGCCTTTGGCCCAGGGCGCGATCCTGGGGACCCGGGATCGAATCCCACATGGGGTTCCCGGTGCATGGAGCCTGCTTCTCCCTCTGCCTGTGTCTCTGCCTCTCTCTCTCTCTGTGTGTGACTATCATAAATAAATAAAAAATTAAAAAAAAGGACAACACAGGGGTGCCTGGCTGGCTCAGTCAGAAGAGTATGAGACTCTTGATCTCAGGGTTTGAGTTCAAGCTCCATGTGGGGTGTAGAGATTACTTAAATAAATAAAATAATTTAAAAATTGGACAAAATATTTTAATAGACATTTCTCCAAAGAAGATATGTAAATGACCAATAAGCACATGGAAAGGTGCCCAACAACCTTAGTAATTAGGAAAACACAAGTCAAAAACCATGAATGAGATACTACTTTATACCCGTTAGTTTAAATGGCTAAAAAAGACAGGCAATAAAAAGTGCATGGAAGAGTGTGGAAAATTTGGAACACTCATACTTTGCTGGTTTGAATGTAAAATGGGGCAACTGCTTTGGAACGCAGTGGACAGTTTGTCACAAATTTCAGTATATAGCCACTGCATGCTGGTATATACCCCAAATAAATGGAAACATATGTTCACACAAAACTTGTACCTGAATGCTTGTAGCAGCATTATTCAAAATTGGAAATGACTGTAATGTCCATCAAGTGATAAATGGATAAACAAATGCAACATATCCATCCAGCAGAATATTATTTGGCCATGGAAAAGAGTAAGATTATTACTCATCCATAAAAACATGCTGCAATATGGATGAACTTTGAAAGCATGATGCTAAATGAAAGAATCCTGTCATGAAAGACCACATATCACATAATACCACTTATGTAAAATGTTCAGAATAGGCGAATCTGTCATGTGGGAAAGTGGAGTAATGGTGTCCTGGGGGAAGAGGAGGAGTGGAGTGTGTTGAAGTGAGAACACATGACTGCTAGTGTAAATAAAATTTCTCTTTGTGGGGTTGAAAATATCCTAAAGTTAGATTTTAGTGCTGGTGCACAACTCTTGGGAATATTCTATTTTTTAAATAATAAATTTATTTTTTATTGGTGTTCAATTTGCCAACATATAGAATAACACCCAGTGCTCATCCCGTCAAGTGCCCACCTCAGTGCCCGCCAACCAGTCACCCACATCCCACACCCACCTCCCCTTCCACCACTCCTAGTTCATTTCCCAGAGTTAGGAGTTGTCCATGTTCTGTCTCCCTTTCTGATATTTCCCACTCATTTTTTCTCCTTTCCCATTTATTCCCTTTCACTATTTTTTATATTCCCCAAATGAATGAGACCATATAATGTTTGTCCTTCTCCGATTGACTTATTTCACTCAGCATAATACCCTCCAGTTCCATCCACGTCGAAGCAAATGGTGGGTATTTGTCATTTCTAATGGCTGAGGAATATTCCATTGTATACATAGACCACATCTTCTTTATCCATTCATCTTTCGATGGACACCGAGGCTCCTTCCGCAGTTTGGCTATTGTGGACATTGCTGCTATAAACATGAGGGTGCAGGTGTCTCTTGGGAATATTCTAAAGATCACTGGACTATATAGTTTAGATGGGTGGATTTTATAGTTGGTAAAATATATCTGAATAATGCCATGAAACAATGTAAGACCAAGTGGATGGGTTGTGAAGCTGATGGAAAAAAAATAAATTGAACAGTGCAAGAAAGGCCCCTAACCATGTTAGTTTCCCAGGATTCTGAAAAGTTGTTAACACGTGTGTGGGCTTCTCCTTTGCTTCAACACCATTTATCTCAGTAACATTATTCACTGTTAATATCTCAGCTAAAAATATAATTTCTTTAGAGAATCTTCCTTAACCATCCTAATCCCTCTGATTCCAAAGTAAGCATGACAACCAATAATACAGCTCATTGACTCCCATTTTTGTTTTATTGTTACCATATATTTGTGTGTATCCTACTCCAGGTTAGATATGTGGTTTTAAAACTATGTTTACTTTCTTTTTAACGTTATCTTCAGACCCAACCACAAAGCCTATCACAGAAGAGTCACTCATTATTTGTTGATGAATGAATGAATGATTTATAGAATAGTTCTTTCTATATTCTTAAGAACCAATGAATTTTTTGCTTTCTCTCTTGTTCAGCTGCTGGCTCAACCAAGAAAAGAGATTTATATGGAGCTTCCTTGGGCCAGTCTGTGCCATCTTCTCTGTGAGTGATGACATCAGAGTATCCTTAATGCTCAGCTGGGGGGTCACTAGAAGAGCAGAATTTTAAGCAGGGTGACAGTGGCAGGCATGTCACTGGATTGTCATGGCTTTGTTTAGTTTTCTAAACCTGCTCCTAAAACTAGAAACTCCACTGTTATTTAATATGAAGATGACTTAAATGTGGAATTGATGTTGGACAGGCTAGGATGCAGAGAACAGATTGAAATTTTATTTAGTAAGTCTTCTGTGGTTTCCCAAAGGTCAATTTAGCTTTCTTTCTGATGACCCTCTGGATTTTGAAAAGCAAGCTGTCTTCCCTCAACAGCGAAGTATCTACCCTCCAGAACACAAGGTAAGATGGAGAAGAGAGTGACCAACCCCATAGACATGTGTGATCCTAAGGATAAAGCCATGTGCCTCAGCAGTCCCCGATGCTTCTTCTCGGGGTCTTTTGAGGGGACCTGAGTAGAGAGAGGCAGCTACCCTTCTATGGCAACTGGCTCAGATTCAGTAGGTGCAGCTAACAACTTGGCCAAATTTTCTGTTGATCCTTTTTTTTTCCAGAGAGAGTGAGAGCATCGGGGAGGGGAGTGCAGAGGGAGAGGGAGAGAGGGAATTTTATGCTGGCTCCACATTCAGTGGGGAGCCTGATTTGGGGCTTGATCCCAGGATCCTGAGACCATGATCTGAGCTGAAATTAAGAGTCAGATGCATAAATGACTGAGCCACCCAGATGCTCCTGTTCTATTCCTAACCCAAGGTTGTGACTCCGAACAGCAACAGGAAGAATTGACATTGGTTAATAAACATTCTTTCGACTTTTTCCATCAGTCCTATGACAAATGTGCAGGGAATCTTTATGTTTCCACAAAACACTTAGAAAAACCTGTGAATGTTCCCACAACCCAGCCTGTACTTCCATACTCCACCTCAGTTCAGGCTCCTACTGATACCTCTTGCATTCTTCTCCTGGTCCATGTCAAATCTTCAGGGAGGCTTGGACGGTCCTTTGCTCTAGCAACCTTTGTGAAAATTTAATGCTGTTTCTTCCATGTTCTTATCATTATCCTTTCCAAATGAAAATAGAAATCTTGCCTTTGTTATTTTTTAAAGAGTTTATTTATTTATTTATTTACTTATTTACTTATTTATTTACTTATTGATGAGAGAGAGAGAGAAGAGGAGAAGAGAGGAAGAGACATAGACAGGGGGAAAAGCTCCCTGCAAGGAGCATGATACAGGACTCGATCCCTGGACCCTGGGATCATGCCCTGAACCAAAGGCAGATGCTCAACTGCTGAGCCACCCCACGGGTCCCTCCTTTGTTATTTTTAATGCCCAGATCCAAGCACAGAGCCTGATGCAAAATGCCTCCTCAGTAGTGCTGGATGAAATTCAGGGTCTCCAAGGAGCATCATAAAATTTTTGAAACTTACATTGTGAAATATCCCTGTCCTCCTCAATCCAAATCAAGATGCCATCGTGGTCCAAGTGGCATCTGTACTGTAGGAAATCATTGAGACTAAAGATCAAAGTTGATCACCAGTCAGCTTGAGAACTCATCACCATCAGGGGAAGACAGAAGCTTCCATGGCTAGAGATGAGAATGGCTTTCATTGTGTTGTCCTGGGTGAATCATGAGCATTCTTTCTCTTCCTACCCAGGATGCTGGCATTTAAAGCCACAGCTCAGCTCCTCATCTTGGGCTGCACATGGTGCCTGGGCATCCTGCAGGTGGGTCCAGCTGCCCAAGTCATGGCTTACCTGTTCACCATCATCAACAGCCTGCAGGGTGTCTTCATCTTCCTGGTGTACTGCCTCCTCAGCCAGCAGGTACTACTGCCCAGCTCCCACCTGGGATGCTTCCTATCCTCACTCATCTCAGTGAACTGATTCAGAGCATACTTTGCCTTTGCAGGTACGGGAGCAATATAGGAAATGGTTCAAAGGGATCAGGAGAGCAAGAGCTGAGTCAGAGAAATACACAGTGTCCAGCAGGGCCACCTCTGATGCCTCTAAATAGAGCATGGTAAGATCAGGCATTGCTCCCAGAGCACTTCATTAAGTGATCTGCTTAAGTACCATATGCTTACCCCATTGAGCAATGTTAGTGTGCAACAGAATAGGCCCTTCAATGGCTCACACTTGATTTGCTTTTTTTTTTGTATATTTTTTTATTGGAGTTCGATTTGCCAACATCTACTATAACATCCAGTGCTCATCCTGTCAAGTGCCCCCTTAAATGTCCATCTTTTATCTATTAATTTAATGTTAACAATTTAGTTATTAATTAATTATTAACTTTCTGACTCCTCTATGAAGACGGTGCTTCCACCTGTTCTTTGGATCCCATCATTCATGCCTTATCCATTATCTTTAACTGTTAGCAATAGTCTCTTTTTAAAGGTTTGTTTAAGAATATATTTTGCTCCTTAGGGTATTGTGTTCATCTTAACACTTACACATCAACATCTTTTTTTAAAATAATAAATTTACTTTTTATTGGTGTTCAATTTGCCAACATTTAGCATAACACCCAGTGCTCATCCCATCAAGTGCCCCCCTCAGTGCCCGTCAACCAGTCACCCCCACCCCCTGCCCTCCTCCCCTTCCACCACCCTTAGTTCGTTTCCCAGAGTTAGGAGTCTTCCATGTTCTGTCTACCTTTCTGATATTTCCTACTCATTTCTTCTCCCTTCCCCTCTATTCCCTTTCACTATTATTTATATTCCCCAAATGAATGAGAACATATAATGTTTGTTTTTTTTAATTTATGATAGTCACAGAGGGAGAGAGAGAGAGAGAGAGAGAGAGAGAGAGAGAGAGAGAGAGAGAGACACAGGCAGAGGGAGAAGCAGGCTCCATGCACCGGGAGCCTGACGTGGGGTTCGATCCCGGGTCTCCAGGATCGCGCCCTGGGCCAAAGGCAGGCGCCAAACTGCTGCGCCACCCAGGGATCCCCTGGTTTATCTATCTTATTAATTCTTTCAAAGAACCAACTCCTGGTTCTGTTGATCTGTTCCACAGTTCTTCTAGTCTCAATTTCGTTGAGTTCTGCTCGAGTCTTTATTAACTCTCTTCTTCTGCTGGGTGTAGGATCTATTTGCTGTTTTTTCTCTAGCTCCTTTATGTGTAAGGTTAGCTTTTGTATTTGAGTTCTTTCCAGTTTTTGAATGGATGCTTGTATTGCGATGTATTTCCCCTTTAGGATTGCTTTTGCTGCATCCGAAAGATTTTGAATGGTTGTATCTTCATTCTCATTAGTTTCCATGAATCTTTTTAATTCTTCCTTAGTTTCCTGGTTGACCCTTTCACCTTTTAGCAGGATGGTCCTTAACCTCCACGTGTTTGGGGTCCTTCCAAACTTCTTGTTGTGATTTATTTCTAATTTCAAGGCATTATGGTTCGAGAATATGCAGGGGATGATCCCAATCTTTTGGTATCGGTTCAGACCCGATTTGTGACCCAGTATGTGGTCTATTCTGAAGAAAGTTCCATGTGTACTTGAGAAGAATGTGTATTCAGTTGAGTTTGGATGTAAAGTTCTGTAGATATCTGTGAAATCCATCTTGTCCAGTGTATCATTTAAAGCTCTCGTTTCTTTGGAGATGTTGTGCTTAGAAGACCTATCGAGGGTAGAAAGAGCTAGATTGAAGTCACCAAGTATAAGTGTATTATTTTCTAATACTTGATTGACATATTTGGCAGCTCCCACATTCGGAGCATAAATATTCATGATTGTTAGGTCCTCTTGTTGGATAGATCCTTTAAGTATGATATAGTGTCCCTCTTCATCTCTCACTACAGTCTTCGAGGTAAATTTTAGTTTATCTGATATAAGGATGGCTACCCCTGCTTTCTTTCGAGAACCATTTGAATGGTAAATTGTTCTACAACCTTTTATTTTCAGGCTGTAGGTGTCCTTCTGTCTAAAATGAGTCTCTTGTAGACAGCAAATAGATGGGTCCTGCTGTTTTATCCAGTCTGACACCCTGCGCCTTTTGATGGGGTCATTAAGCCCACTCACGTTCAGAGTTACTATTGAGAGATGTGAGTTTAATGTCATCATGATATCTGTTCAGTCCTTGTTTTTGTGGATTGTTCTACTGGACTTCTTAAAGGGGAATTTTAAGAGTCCCCCTTAAAATTTCTTGTAGAGCTGGTTTGGAGGTCTCATATTCTTTCAGTTCCTGCCTGTCTTGGAAGCTCTTTATCTCTCCTTCCATTTTGAATGAGAGCCTTGCTGGATAAAGTATTCTTGGTTGCATGTTCTTCTCATTTAGGACCCTGAATATATCCTGCCAGCCTTTTCTGGCCTGCCAGGTCTCTGTGGAGAGGTCTGCTGTTACCCTAATACTGCTCCCCATAAAAGTCAGGGATTTCTTGTCTCTTGCTGCTTTAAGGATCTTCTCTTTATCTTCGGAATTTGCAAGCTTCACTATTAAATGTCGAGGTGTTGAACGGTTTTTATTGATTTTGGGGGGGGGGATCTCTCTATTTCCCGGATCTGAATGCTTGTTTACCTTTCCAGATTAGGAAAGTTTTCAGCTAGGATTTGTTCAAATACATATTCTCGCCTTCTGGCCCTTTTGGCGCCCTTGTGAACCCCAATTAAATGTAGGTTTTCTTCCTCAGGCTGTCATTTATTTTCCTTAATCTATCCTCATGGTTTTTTAATTGTTTGTCTCTTTTTTCCTCAGTTTCCCTCTTTGCCATCAACTTGTCTTCTGTGTCACTCACTCTTTCTTCTTCCTCATTAACCCTCATTGTTAGGACCTCTAGTATGGAGTGCAGCTCATTTAATTGATTTTTAATTTCTGCCTGATTAGATCTAAATTCTGCAGTCATGAAGTCTCTTGAATCCTTTATGCTTTTTACTAGAGCCAGCAGTAGCTTTATAATAGTGCTTCTGAATTGGATTTCTGACATTAAATTGTAATCCAAATTTTGTAACTCTGTGGGAGAGAGGACTGTTTCTGATTGTTTCTCTTGAGGTGAGTTTTTTCTTCTAGTCATTTTGCTCAGTGCAGTGTGGCCATAAGGAAGTTTGTATTGGGAAAAAGAGAAAAAGAGAGAAAAGAAAAAAGAAAAGAAAAAGAAAAAAAAAGAAGAAAAAAAAAGAGAAGAGAAGAAAAGAAAAAAGGGGGGGAGGTGGAAGCAAACAGAAACCTAAAAACAAGGGGGAGTATCGTCTGATTGTATATATTGTAAATCCCTCGACTTCCCCTGGAACTTTCCAGTGCTGCTTGGTCAATAACTTGCTTTTCCCCTGTCCTTCTAGCTGATCTTCTGGGGGAGGGGCTTGCTGTGCTGATTCTGAGGTGTGAGCTCTTGGGGGAGCTCAGTGGAGTTGTTTTTCCTGTTTATCCTGTGGGGCCACTGTGAGGTTCAGTGGGGGTTGTTTATCCTGTGAGGACCCAGGAGGAAAAACAACAGTGGAGGCAGCCAGCTCTCCAGCCCTAGAGTCAACTCCTGCAGTAACTATGGAGCTCTCATTCTGCAGGGGCCTGGATGCTCGGGGGGCGTGCCGCTGATCTGCACAGCTCGGTGCTGCCCAGGGCCAGGAGCATCCTGGCTGTCCTGGGCTTTCCCAGCCTCTGCCTGTCCGGATCTTGGGCTGTGTCCCCCTGCACCCTGGGCTCCCGGGCCTGCACTGCTGGAATCACGCTCCTGGGTCCTGCAGCCCCCTCTGCGCGGAGCCACTGCCTGAGCCGCCTCTGAGCTGCTCCCGGGTCCAGCCGGGTGTGTGCTGCACCCTTTAGGGAACTCGGCTGCGGGGTGTGGCATGCTCTCCCCCCCGGGGCGCAGGTCCTCTGTTAGTGTCCCAGGGAGCCTGAGGGCATCCCTGCCCTCCTGGGGTCCTGTCCGAGCTCCCTGCGAGCGCCTTTCCCTCTGGGAAGGTTGGTAAAGCTCCTGCTTCTCCGGGCCTGGGCTTTCCTGTCCTGGGGGTACTCGGGCTGGCCTTAGCCTGGCTCCTCGCGGGGGCCCCTCCCCCTTGGATGCCTTTTATTTCTTTATTTTTTTACTGTCTTTCTACAGAAGCGCGAACTCTTCTCACTGTAGCATTCCACCTGTTCTCTCTTTAAATCTCAGGCCGAATTCGTGTTTTCAGGATGATTTGAAAGTTATCTAGGTAATTTGGTGGGGACAGTGACTTGGGGACCCTACTCTTCCACCATCCTGCTCCCTCTGGTTCTCTTCTGACTTAAAAAAATGTGTGCGACTTGCCCCACTTTTAGCTACCAGACAAGAGTTGACTTCTCTCTGCTTAAACGTACTCCCTACTTCCCCAACCTTTCCAAGTGTGGTTTCTTTCCCTTATCATGCCACCCAAACAAACATCTCTTAGACCTACAATGATCTCCATGTCCCTGAAAGTTTTCTCAGAAACTGGGGACACTATTCATCTTTTCTGATGGAACACTCCATCCTTATCTCCTCTAGATTCTACTCATACAGACTTCTACGTCTTACTTCCATTCTCTTTAGCTTTTTTCTCTTTGTTTCCTTTATATCTCCATCCAATGGATCAGTTCCAGAAGCACTTCAGTTCTCATTACGTTCTTTCCTCCTAGACAATAGCATCTATCCTTTAGGTTCAATTACCATCTAAATACAAATGACAGCCATGTACATTTCTCCATCTGATCTCTGAGATCTAGATGAGTATTTCCAGTTTCTTATTTCTCATATCTAGAACTAACTCAGCCTTCTAGTAAAAGACTTGCAATCTTTACCCCAATTTAGTCCTTTCCCATGATGTCTTTCTCTGGATGCACTACATTCATCTTGTGGCACAAGTTTGGACTCCTTAAAAGTTATCCTCAGTAATGATCTTATTTCCCAACACAGCCTATCCATTATACAATCCTTGTTTTATATTCTCAATATGTTCCCAGTGTGTCCAGCAGGCTCAGTCTTCGTCACCCCTCCTTAGGACACTGCTATCTTTACTTGCCTAAATAGCTGCAGTATCCCCCTAACTGACCACCCCTTTCTAGTCTTGTCACCTTCTTGTGCACCTTTACATACAAATCAGAGGGATCTTTTCAAAACACAAATAAAATCGTGTCACCCCTTTGTTAAACTCATTACATGTAAGATCAAACCTCAAATCTGTAAATCAATGAGGACCTGCTTGGGTTGTTTCCTGCTCACCTCTCCAGCTTCGTCTATTATGAATGTACCATCATTCTGGTCAGATCAGATTTCTTTCAATTTTTTAAATTCACTGTGCTTCTTTGGTACAAAGGCTTTGCACATATTCCTTGTCATTGAAACACTCTTTTGTTTTCCTTGACTCAAAAGTATGTCAGCCTTCACATCTCAGTTCATGTGTCCATTCCTCCAAGAATCCTTCTCTTCTTGCTTAGCTTAGGTCAGGTTCTTTTGTTTTTCACCTTGATGGCCCCTGTGCCTTTCCTGCAAAGCATTTGTCAGAGTCATTTTAGTCTTGGTTCTCACTATTTGGTTGTATCTGTCTTCCCTGTAGATTTCAGACCCAACAGGTGCCATGTTGGTTTTTCCCTCTAATGTATCCCCAGCATTTCACATGATGCCAGGCACATAGAAATGCTTGATACATAACTGCTGCATGACTATTTAAATTAAATTCACAGTGTGCAGCTGCAGAAGGTGCAGGAACTGTCTTGCTCATCAATCTCTTTCTAACTTTCCCAGTGCTCATTAATGGTCTAGAGAGCAAACAAGTGAAGGAATAAATAATGGAATGAATTGCCTGACCAGGAGGGTAATAAGACAGTAGAATAAACTACTGATTCGGTAATGATGCCCCCTTTCTCGCAAATTTCAAGTTACTTCTCAGCCTTGTGGTTTTATTAGTGATCTTCACATCTACTTATTAAGACCCAAGTATTTCCTTATGATCCAAGAGCATTGTGTAGATACACTGACTGAAACAGGTCTGGACTGAAACAGGTCTGGAATGAAATCCCACTCTCCCAAGTGCTTGCTATGTGAACTGGGTCAAATTGCCACACATTTTAAATCTTCCATTGCCTCCTCTTTCTCTTCCTCACACATGAGATAGTTGTCTTAGAATCACTGAATTGGAGCTAATTGCTGGCTTCCTTATGTAGGCTTTCAGGTCATGCGTTGGTGGGAGGGGGGCTGAATATCTCCCATATACACTGTAGATGTTGATTCAGCCAAGGATGGGGAATGTAACCCCATCCACCTAACTGGGAGCTAATGCAACATCCCTTAGTACAACTGATGCCATCACATAAGGGGCGGGTCACACAGATCTGAGATGTTCCATTCTGGCTGTATCACAGCCTTGTCCCACTGGGGGCTTGCAGTTATTCAGCAAGAATGTAACAGATAGTCCACATCTTTCTGTTTAGGGAATGCTAATAGTACTTAACCCTCCATGTTTTTGGTGTCAGCCAGTCCTCAGCAAGGCCAATCTTCATTCCTGGAAGCTAATCCCTAGGAGTCCCTAAATAATATCTGAGCTTCTCTCACTCTGGAATTCCAGTAAATGGGTATTTCCACATGGATTCTTTGTATTAGTTTCCTATTGCTATTGTAACAAGTTATCGCAGACCTACTGCTAAAAACAACATAAGCATTAAAGGTGACTAGGTGGCTCAGTTGGTTAAGCATCTGACTCTTGATTTCAATTCAGGTCATGAACTCAGCATAAAAAATAAATTTATTATTAAAAAAATAAAATAAAAGAAATTAGTAAATCTTTAAAAAAAAACAGAAACATTTATCTTACATATCTAGAAGTTTAAAGTTTCAAGTGGGTCTTTTTTAATAAATTAATTTTTTATTGGTGTTCAATTTACCAACATACAGAATAACACCCAGTGCTCATCCCATCAAGTGCCCCCTCAGTGCCTGTCACCCATTCACCCCCACCCCCTGCCCTCCTCCCCTTCCACCACCCCTAGTTTGTTTCCCTGAGTTAGGAGTCTTTTTCTTCTCCCTTCCCTTATATTCCCTTTCACTGTTATTTATATTCCCCAAATGAATGAGAACATACACTGTTTGTCCTTCTCCAATGGACTTACTTCACTCAGCATAATACCCTCCAGTTCCATCCACGTTGAAGCAAATGGTGGGTATTTGTCATTCCTAATGGCTGAGTAATATTCCATTGGATACATAAACCACATCTTCTTTATCCATTCATCTTTCGATGGACACCGAGGCTCCTTCCACAGTTTGGCTATTGTGGACATTGCTGCTAGAAACATCGGGGTGCAGGTGTCCTGGCATTTCATTGCATCTGAATCTTTGGGGTAAATCCCCAACAGTGCAATTGCTGGGTCGTAGGGCAGATCTATTTTTAACTCTTTGATGAACCTCCACACAGTTTTCCAGAGTGGCTGCACCAGTTCACATTCCCACCGACAGTGTAAGAGGGTTCCCTTTTCTCCGCATCCTCTCCAACATCAAATGGGTCTTATGGGAGTAAAATCAAGGTGTCAGCATAGCTGAGTTTCCTCTGGAGAGTTGAGGAAAGTTTGAACTTCTGTTTTTTTCCAGCACCTAGAGGCTGGCTGCGTACCTTAGCTAGTAGCCCCTCACTCTATTCACCTTTCAAAGCCTACAGTGCAGCATCTTCAACTGTATCTCTCTCTCTCTCTCTCTCTCTCTCTCTCTCTCTCTCTCTCTCTCTCACACACACACACACACACACATTCTTTCTCTCTTCCTTGCTTCTGTCATTGTATCTCCCTTGCTCTCCTCAACTTTCCTGCCTCCCTCTTTCCCTTAAAAAGACCTCAATCATTACACTGCCTCACTTTCCATTTACAATACTTAATTTTATCTGGAAAGTCCATTTTTTTTCTGTGTAAAATGAAATATTCACAGGATCCAGAGATTAGAATGTGGGCATCTTTTGTGAAATCCTTACTCTGTGTACCACACTATGGTAGGATGTCTACTGTACATAGGTTTGGTTTGCCTATTGTAGAGCCACCAAAATCTGCCTCAAGTTATAGTATTTGAGTAAATATCAACCCCCACCCCCTGTGATGATCTATACAGTGAAGAAACATACTTTCTGTGAGAAAAATAGCACCTCAAAGCCAAGGAATGTATTAAAATTTGAGTAATCTTATCACTGTTTCTACTGTCTTTGGGAAAAGGACTAAGCAAATTCATTCCTTTATGTATTTGTATCTTCTACTGTCTCCTAAAATTTGGTGCCTCTGGTGTTTAAAGATATAAGGAATGTTTCCCTCTCATCCTGTCATCTCTTCTGTGGTGTCCTGTAGTCTTGTTCAAGAAAAGCACTTGTGTTCAGTTCTAAGTAATTTCATGATGCATACTTTTTATAAGCTCATTGTGTAGAGATAAGCATGTGAAGTTTCCTAACTCAAAAACCAGAAATCACACTAAAGTTCCTATAGACACAGGAACAAATAACTCATATTGGGAATGACAAGGATAAGTGGGAAAAGGAGAATTCAGTGTTTTTTCCTTTACATCTTAGCTGATTGACAACATATAACATTTCTTTTTTTTTATAAATTTATTTTTTATTGGTCTTCAATTTTCCAACATATAGAATAATACCCAGTGCTCATCCTGTCAAGTGCCCACCTCAGTGCCCGTATGTTTCTGACCTTGTGTTAATTTCTCACTTACTGAAACGCCTAGGTGGCTCAGCAGTTGACCATCTGCCTTTGGCCCAGGGCGAGATCCCGGAGTCCCAGGATTGAGTCCCACATCAGGCTCCCTGCATGGAGCCAGCCTCTCCCTCTGCTTAAGTCTCTGACTCTCTGTGTCTCTCATGAATAAATAAATAAATAAAATGTTTTAAAAAATTTCCCACCTACCTTTTTAGTTTCTCTATATGTAGAGTAGCATTTCACAAACCCTGTAGGAGAGCGATTTGGACATACATCTTGAAACAGATAATATTTTTCTATCGCACATTTCATTACTCTTATCTTCTGTAACTTAGGGGTTAAGAAATATAGGGAGATGGGACTTCTGGTGAAGATGTCACAAATATCTGATATTTTACTCTGACATATTCACTTGGCAAGGGGATCTTGTGATTGAAAGCTTCTTAAATTTCCTGTATCTTTTTTTCAAAGGAAACTTTTAAAAAAGATTTGTTGATTAATTTTGAGAGAGAGAGGCGGAGAGGGAGGGACAGAAGGAGAGGGAGAGAGAATCTCAAGCAGACTGTGCACTGAGTGTGGAGCCCAACATGGGGCTCGATATCATGGCTCTCATCATGACTTGAGCTGAATCCAAGAGTCAGATGTGTAACTGACTCAGCCACCCAGATGCTTCAAAGGAATTTTTTGAATTATCTTTCTGTAGTCTTGTATATCATTTCTAAATATTGTTTTTCTAGGTCAATTAAAAAATCTGATGAATTATATCCCCATCTCCCATGGAAAATTGGAACTGTTAATCTCTGAGCCCTTGAGAGAGGATAAACAAGACTTCATTGTGTGTATATTTCAAGAAATTCACCATGTCAACAGTGTGAAAGACGTCAACCTTGCTTGATACTCAATGCCTGCAAAATCTGGAATTTGTCTGTGCCCTTCAGTGTGCTTAGAAAACTCTCAACATATAAAGAGCCATCTGTGGATCAATTTCTTGGTCACTTTGGTTTACAATCTTTTCTGAAGCCTCTCCTTCCTACAAAGATGCTTCTGGATGCTGAACGTCTATGAGCAGGAAAACCTGCCTCAATGGATTTTCCTACCTACAGCAACCATGAGAGTGGACATGTTCACTCCAGAGTCTGGATTTTGAAATTTCTTTGTTCTGTGTTCTGTGAGCTTAATTATTCATACTTTCAAAGATATCAGTTTCTCACTAGGTCCAAGGGAGTTATCATAAGAGACACAGGTTTAACCTTCATTGAGATTTCAGGGGGAAATAAAGTGATTTTTGCAGCTATGGTTGACTCAGAGGCTGAAAGATTCCTATAAGTCACATCTCTATAGCTGGACAACTGAAACATGAACCATTTCACAGTTATCGCTGTCTTGTTTAATCATCACCTGATGATACAGATAGTTGGAAAACTCCGATCATGATATGTATGTTTCAGGCTTTCTGGGCCAGCGTATTAGTCAGGGTTGTCCAGAGAAATAGAACCAACAGAACACACACACACACACGTTTTTATGAAGGGATTTTATATATATAAAATATATTTGTATATTTTTTATTGGAGTCTGATTTGCCAACATATAGTATAACATCCAGTGCTCATCCCATCCAGTGCCCCCCTCAGTGCCCATCACCCAGCCACCCCATCCCCCTACCCAACTCCCATGAAGGGATTTACAATGAAGTATTGGCTCATGTGATTATGGAGCTGAGTCCCACAGTCTGCTTTCTGCAAGCTGGAGACCCAGGAAAGATGGTGGTTTAGTTTAAAGGCCTAAGATCCTGGGAGCTGATGGTATAGATTCCATACTGTGTCTGAAGGCTTGAGATTTGAGCCTGTTGATTGTAGAAGATGTAGGTCGCAGTCAATTTACCAGACTGAATTCATTCAACCTTCCTCCACTTAAAAAAAATTTATTTAGGCTCTCAAGGGATTGGATGATGCCTATCCACATTGGAGAGGACCTTCTGCTTTACCCAGTCCATTGAAATGCTAATCTCTTCTGGAAACACCCTTACAGATACACCTAGAAATCATGTTTAACCAGCTATCTGGCATCCTGGGGCCCAGTCAAGTTGACACATGAAATTAGCCATCACTGCTAGAATCTATAGCAACAATATGACTCTGCCATTGTAGCATGAAAACTGCTATAGACATTCATAAATTGATGGTTATGACTGTTTTAATAAATCTTTATTTTTAGACACTGAATTTGAATTTCATGAAATGTTCACATGACACAAAATATCATTCTTCTTTTGTTTTTTTTTCACATGTTTAAAAATATAAGTACTGTTCTTACCTCGTATGAATGGTCACCGGCAACTCAATGGTGCATAGACCTGGTGGTGAGCCAGATTTTGCACATGGGCTGTTGTTGGCTGACCTGTATCCTAGGATGTTTGGGGGAACTCTTCATCCACACCAATTTATTCAGGCACTTTTCAAATATTTGTTGAGTACTTACTCTTTAAGGCACGATGTTAAATTGAAAGAAATGGAAATGGCACTTGATGGGATGAGCACTGGGTGTTATTCTGTATGTTGGCAAATTGAACACCAATAAAAAATTAATTTATTATTAAAAAAAGAAATGGAAATGAAGAAGGTAGACATGCTTCCCCTGTCCAGGAATCCTGAGGACCTTGTATTAGCTTAGACTTCCATAACAAAATACCATAGACTGAGGGCTGAAACAACGGAAATTTATTTTGTCCCAAATGTGGAGGCTGGGAAGTCCAAATCTAGTTTTGACAGTGTTTGGTATTTGGTGAGAGCACTCTTCCTGTGTACCTGCTCACTGTGCTCTCTCTCTCTCTCTCTCTCTCTCTCTCTCTCACACACACACACACACAATCATTCTATAGGCATCTATTGTTTACAGTTTTGTATCTATCCTTATTATCATTATTTCTGTACATGTGCATTTGTATTTATGTATCTCCATACATGTTATAGAAATGGATTCATGCTGTGTGGATAAAATTGTGGAATTTATTTTTTATACACAGCTTTTACACAGTTATAGAGTAGTCCCTAGTATGGCTATATCGTGTTTAACAGCTTCTTATTAATGAACATTTGGGTTACCTCCTGGCAGTGAAAATTCTGAATATAGAAGTTGCATATTTGATATTTTGATGGACATTTGGGTCAGAAAATACTCTTCTGGATACCACACTTATAATGGAAGGGGATGAGGCCTATCTATGAGATCCTTCACCTACTACACCAGAGGTCAGTAAACCTTCTTTAAAGGTCCAGATAGGAAATATTTTCAGCCTTGTGAGCCATATGGCCTCTTACAAGGCCTCAACTCAACTCTGTGGTTGTCCCCCCAAAACAATTATGTAGACAATACATCAATGAATGGGAATGACTATGTACCAATAAAACTTTATATACAGACTCAGGCAGCCAGCCCATGAGCTGTTGTTTGCCAACCTCTATAATAAACAGAAGTAAGTCCTAGGGTCAGAGTCAGAATTCAGGGACCTGCACAATCTGAGAAGACAGAGGAGAAATTTAATGGGATAAGACAGAGTGTTCATATGTAAGTGGCCCTCCTTGCAGCCCTGACTACATCAGCACAGTCCCGCCCTGAAGCTGGATCTGCTGGATGTGATGGCACACCTGATTCAGTGCATCCACATGTTCCAACTGTTATTTCCTGTTAACAGTACACTGTCCTCTGCCTGCAGTTGTTTCTGATAAGAGGTCAATGAAAACTTATGTTGTGGTTTCTCTTCATGTAAGGTGTCATTTTTCTTTGTTTTTGAGGATTTTGATTAGGATGTCTGTAGGTGTGCTTTTCTTTGTATTTGTCCTGCTTAGGGTTTACAGGGCTTCGTGAATCAATAAATTATGTCTTTCAACAAATTTGGGGAATTCTTAGCCATTATTTAAATATTTTTCTGCTCCATTTCTCTCCTCTCCTTTTTTTTTTAAGATTTTATTTATTTACAAGAGAGACTCATTCCTGGGACTCCTAGATCATGCCTTGAGCCGAAGGCAGACGCTCAAACACTGAGCCACCCAGGCGTCCCTTTTTCTCTCCTTTCCTTGAAATTCAGATACAGAGAGTCCTCAGAAAACTGTATAAAACATTACTTTAAATGTAGAATATGTGTTTTTCTTTGTGAAATAGATTATTTGTAATTGACTAATTCATAATGAAAATGAAAGGCTATCAATGTACACTCATAAATACCCATAAAAGGGCTTATGTTTTTGTATTGGATGACAGTCCTTTGGATGTATTCTCCCGACACACTGGTGATCTTAGAACCAATGTAAGGATGACCATGTTAGAGCATTACTTACAGGGACATCTTAGGAGGAAGGGGAGCAAGTGGGAAACAACAAGAAATTTGGGACTGGGTGACGGGCACTGAGGGGGCACTTGATGGGATGAGCACTACTGGGTGTTTTTTTTTAAATAATAAATTTATTTTTTATTGGTGTTCAATTTGCCAACATACAGAATAACACCCAGTGCTCATCCTGTCAAGTGCCCACCTCAGTGCCCATCACCCATTCACCCCCACCCCCCACCCTCCTCCCCTTCCACAACCCCTAGTTCGTTTCCCAGAGTTAGGAGTCTTTATGTTCTGTCTCCCTTTCTGATATTTCCTACCCATTTCTTCTCCCTTCTCTTCTATTTCCTTTCATTATTATTTATATTCCCCAAATGAATGAGACCATATGTTTGTCCTTCTCCAATTGACTTATTTCACTCAGCATCATACCCTCCAGTTCCATCCACGTTGAAGCAAATGGTGGGTATTTGTCATTTCTAATGGCTGAGTAATATTCCATTGTATACATAAACCACGTCTTCTTTATCCATTCATCTTTCGATGGACACCCAAGCTCCTTCCACAGTTTGGCTATTGTGGACATTGCTGCTATAAACATCAGGATGCAGGAGTCCCAGCGTTTCATTGCATCTGCATCTTTGGGGTAAATCTCCAGCAGAGCACTGGGTGTTATACTATATGTTGGCAAATTGAACTCCAATAATATATATACCATAGTCCATAGTTTACATTAGGGTTCACTCTTGGCATTGTGCATTCTATTGCTTGCATAGTTTTCAATACTTCACTCTTGCAAAATGGATTTTTTTTTTTTAAAAAAAACCTCAGCCATTAGAAATGACAAATACCCACCATTTGCTTCAACGTGGATGGAACTGGAGGGTATTATGCTGAGTGAAATACGTCAATTGAAGGACAAACATTATATGTTCTCATTCATTTGGGGAATATAAATAACAGTGAAAGGGAATATAAGGGAAGGGAGAAGAAATGGGTAGGAAATATCAGAAAGGGAGACAGAACATAAAGACTCCGAACTCTGGGAACTGAACTAGGGGTGGTGGAAGGGGAGGAGGGTGGGAGGGATCAGGGTGAATGGGTGACGGGCACTGAGGTGGGCACTTGACGGGATGAGCACTGGGTGTTATTCTGTATGTTGGCAAATTGAACACCAATAAAAATAAATTTATTATTAATAAAAACCTTCTTGTAAATATCTTCCTATGAATATGGTAGTGTTTCTCTGAGGTAAGATCAAAGGAAGTGGGATTCCTGGGTATGTGGGTGTGTGTATATGTGCATCTTAAACTTTCATTGCTAATAACAAATTGCTGAATAAAGTGTTTATATCAATTTACCCTAATGCCATAAAACAATAACCATTTCATCCTGGTCTAACCCATATTGAATACTGTCCAGTTTTGAGGATTTTTAAAAAATATCTTATTTATTTATTCATAAGAGACAGAGAAGCAGAGACATAGGTAGAAGGAGAAGCAGGCTCACTATGGGGAGCTTGATGTGTGACTTGATCCCAGGACCCTGGGCTATGACCTGAGCCAAAGGCAGATGCTCAAGCACTGAGCCACCCACGTACCCCTTGAGGATTATTTTTTTCAATCTAATGCATGATAAAATTAGCTTCTTCTATTAGCTTCCTTGATTACTATGTATTTTTTAGTAATTTGTTTTTTCTCTTTCTGTTAATTACCGATTAATTTTAAAATATTTTATGAACCTTTTTATTATAGAATTTTAGAAGTTCTCTGTACATGATAGATATCAGTCTCATATGAACATAGCAAATATTTTATCTGGTCTTTAGGCTTTGTTAACATTGCCTTCTTTCATCCCAAAACAATT